TGGCTACCTTTTTGTTCTCTCTAGTATTCCATTAGCTACGTAAGAGAAAATGTAGTCAAATAAGAGCTTACTGAAAGAATAGCATAAAAGTAAATTTACTGTTACCTATTGTTTCCAAAGCCCCCTTGGTGCAAGCCATCATTTAGTTTGACTCCGCAGCAAAGACAATTTGACTTATTATAAGGGAGTTATACGCTTTTTAAAAGAACTAAAATCTTATCAATAATAAACGAAGAATAACAGTTAACGAATTTTAGTCCAGGTATACAACTATGAACATTTATTCATCAGCATATAAATGTTGTTATAATAAAACAGGCATTCTTATCAATCATTCTCTTCTTGTAAAATATTGCATGTATTCATTGTAAAAATTGCGGAGCAAATATGAGGTGTCTGCTACACAATAAGTTACAAGATACAACAAGAGCACCGCTAGGCGGAGCATTATATGCCCGAAAGTGTTTTTTTTTAGTAAGGATGAAGCATTCATTAGACATGGGAATTAGCTGTTCATCCTGTAAAATTCTACAGATGTAGGTTGATTAATACTTAAGTCCTTAACCTTAACCTTTGACCTTGTGACCCTAAAATCAATAGGGGTCTTCTACCTTATATGGACAATCATCCTATGAAGTTTGAATATGTGGGTCAAATGGAACTTAAGTTATGCTCCGGAAACTGTTTTCAGTATCAAGGTAATAGTGACTTGACCTTTGACCTTTTGACCCCAAAATCAATAGGGGTCTTCTACCTTATATGGACAATTAACTTATGAAGTTTGAACATTGTGAGTCAAATGGAACTTAAGTTATGCTCCGGAAACTGTTTTCTGTATCAAGGTAATAGTGACCTTGACCTTTGACCTTGTGACCCCAAAATCAATAGGGGTCTTCTACCCAACATGGACAATGATCCTATGAAGTTTGAACATTGTGGGTCAAATGGAACTTAAGTTATGCTCCAGAAACTGTTTTCAGTTTTAAGGTAATAGTGACCTTGACCTTTGACCTTGTGACCCCAAAATCAATAGGGGTCTTCTACCCAATATGGACAATCATCCTATGAAGTTTGAACATTGTGGGCCAAATGGAACTTAAGTTATGCACCGGAAACCAAATTGCTAACGGACAAATTGCTAACAGACGGAAACTATTTTCAGTATCAAGGTAATAGTGACCTTGACCTTTGACCTTTTGACCCCAAAATCAATAGGGGTCTTCTACCCAATATGGACAATCATCCTATGAAGTTTGATAATTGTGGGTCAAATGGAACTTAAATTAGGCTCCGGAAATTGTTTTCAGTTTTAAGGTAATAGTGACCTTGACCTTTGACCTTTTGACCCCAAAATCAATAAGGGTCTTCTACCCAATATGGACAATCATCCTATGAAGTTTGAACATTATGGGCCAGATGGAACTTAAGTTATGCTCCGGAAACCAAATTGCTAACGGACGGAAACTGTTTTCAGTATCAAGGTAATAGTGACCTTGACCTTTGACCTTTTGACCCCAAAATCAATAGGGGTCATCTACCCAATATGGACAATCATCCTATGAAGTTTGAACATTGGGGGCCAAATGGAACTTAAGTTATGCTCCGGAAACCAAATTGCTAACGGACAAATTGCTAACGGACGGACGGACGGACGGACGGACGCCAGGGGGTATAACATAATATGCCCTTTCGGGCATATAAAAATGAAATAGTTTAAAAGCGATCTAATTTAATTGCGTAAGTTACTAAGTTATCCTAAGTAAGTCATAAGACGTTTACTTACAACATTTCTACAAACAATTAATTTAATAAAGTATCGAGAGCTTGATACTGAAATGCGTAAGTTCCGTAATAAAATCAAACTTCCTTTCAAAGTATTTCTAAAAGATTATCTTATTTATATTAAAGCTATGAAAATAATTCAAAGATAATATTGAAAATGTAAATCTATTTAATGGCTAAGTTTTAATACCTAGTTAAAAAAACTTAAGTTCTGGAACTACGCGCAGAATAAAAAGCAAAATCTAATGCTTCAAGTTTTTCAAGCTCCCGAGTGATTTTCAAACATAAAAAAGCGCTTTTTATACTCGTGGTTCAAACATAAACAACAATATTTGTCATCAATTCAAACAATAATAATATAAGAATCTTAAGATGTCTGGCGGTACAGACCGGAATATTTAGCTGGAGTTTGCCGAGATTCCGCTTAACAGTTACCCGAGAGCTAAATATTCCATCTGTACCGACAGCCAGTGTTTCATTCTTTTTCTAGCATATAAAATGTCAAATATTTTTAGAAACAAATATTACGAAAACTGATATTTTCCTCACGCATTTTTTTCTTATAGTAGCGTATGTACTTACAAACTTCATTCATAACGGTATTAAAATGACGTCATCCTTAGAATGCAAATTCATTCATAAAAGGTGTGCGACAATGACGTCATTTAAAGAACGCGACTTGTTTCTATGGGGGTGTAAGACAAGGTTTTCAAGCAACGGTGTTAATGGGAGATAGTCCTGTCTGATATGAGACCCATAAGGGGTTCAAACAGTTCCAAAACCTCAAAAGTTTTAAAAAAAATCAACATACCCATGAATAGAAATGGCATCACTGCATACATTTACTCTATAAAATTATTATGATATACACAATACAATAATAAGGAGTGATAGTAGATGTAACGCCTATTGATAATTAGATTTAACAAAACATTTATTCAAGCACATCCCCCGAAAACTTTCCAAAAATAAAATCAATCAGAGCTAAGAATTCACAATGCCATCACTTTAGCGCATGTACATTTGTATGACGTAGTCTCAAAGAAGCATACAAAATAGCAGACTTTAATGACAATTAATAAATGTGATCTTAAAAAATAAGGAATATTTAAACATTTAAGGCGGATTGATATTATGAAAGTAAAATAAGTGTAAAGCTAATTATACAAGCGTAGGATACAATAGACAGGTATAAGGTGATAGGCCACTAATTTCGAAAACGAAAGTAGGGCGATAGATTTACCGGCGCATATTGGTATTAATGTTTTTACGGACAGACGACGGAGAAGTAATTCCTATAGTGTATGTCGCCACTACGTTGTAGAGGCAAAACGAAAAGGAATTAAATTTTCTTTTTAAAGATTTGTTTAACCATTAATTTGTTTGTTTTTAGACAAGAGCGATCAGTAATCACATGTGTCGCCTCAATGGCCAATTTCATGTTGGGACAAATTTTGTGACAGACGGACAGTGCACAACTAGACTTGGTACTGATCATTCCTGTAAAGTTTGGATAAAATTGCACCAGTAGTTTATGAGGAATAGTCCGGATAGGCTTTTGCGTATCTGGCAACACACAGAAAAAAAAACACCTTTTAATCAAAGGGCCATAACTCAGCCAAAAATCATTCAACCGGAAAACCCGTGCAATATGCGCAAGAACTTGAGCTACAGATCAATCCTGTAAAGTTTCATTGAAATTGCATTAGTGGTATAAGAGAAGTAGTCCGGACAAACTTTAAAAATTAAAAATTATTAAAGGGCCATAACTCAAACAAAAAACATTGAACCGGAAAATGCTGACAATATGCACAACTACACTTGGTACTGATCATTCCTGTAAAGTTTGGATGAAATTGCACCTGTAGTTTATGAGGAGTAGTCCGGACAAGCTTTTGTGTATCTGGCAACACACAGAAAAAGAAACCTTTTTATCAAAGGGCCATAACTCGACCAAAAATCATTCAACCGGAAAACCCTTGCAATATTCGCAAGGACTTGAGCTACAGATCAATCCTGTAAAGTTTCATTGAAATTGCATTAGTGGTATAAGAGAAGTAGTTCGGACAAACTTTAAAATTAAAAATTATTAAAGGGCCATAACTCTGACAAAAATCATTGAACCGGAAAATGCTGACAATATGCACAACTAGACTTGGTAATGATCATTCCTGTAAAGTTTGGATGAAATTGCACCAGTAGTTTATGAGGAGTAGTCCGGACAAGTTTTGTGACGGACGGACGGACAGACGGACAGACAGACAGACGGACAGACAGACGACGGAGAAGTGATCCCTATATGTCGCCACTACTCCTTAACGGCTGTAAAGTTTGGATGAAATTGCACCAGTAGTTTATGAGGAGTAGTCCGGACAAGTTTTGTGACGGATGGACGGACAGACAGACAGACGGACAGACAGACGACGGAGAAGTGATCCCTATATGTCGCCACTACTCCGTAGAGGCGACACAAAAAGGAAGTGGCTGGCCGTACAGGCCCGTACGGCTAGCCATGACACACTGTACTGCACATTCAAAAATTTAAAGTTTTTTTTAAACAAGAGTATAAAAAGAACAAACACTCTTATTTGAAGGCATCCCTTTAATTTCCTCTTTCAAACAAAGAAATATACATTACAAAAAGAAAAGAGTATAGTTCTGGCCTCTGACCACCTTGCTATTCATAAAAGATAAAACAGAAACACAGAAAATGACACCAATATTCAGATCATGTATGCACCTGCAAAAGTATATGTTAGCCTTACAAGCAAGGGCCACAACTCTTACTAAATGTTAACTTGATTTGAGGTAATTGTTCTTTAATATTTGTTATAACATAAAGATACACAAGTTTAAATGATGATTTGATAAAAATATATCAACAGTTCAAAATGTGATTAAGACATTGGATTAAAGAACAACACTTAAATAGTTATAACATAAAAATATATAATATTTTTTCCAGGAGGTAAATTTGTGTAAATGCTCATTAAAATAACTAATACCCAGGTGAATATTACACAGAATATATTTTAGCATTCAAAACCTTTAAACAAAATATTTTTTCCTGTTTCAACTACACATACATGAAAATAAATCCTGTAATTATAGAAAAAACATATCGTCTATTTATTCATGAACATGTATATTATATTATACAAAACAGGTCTTTCAGCTCTTTCAAAAAAGTATTAATGCTTAACAAGACAGGACCTGCTAGTCAATATACTGATATCACCAATTAAAGATGTTTTCAAAAATATTAGTCTAAAAATATAGCTATGTGTATCAGGTAAATGGCAATAACTGCTAGATATTAAGACAAAAAAGGTTTATGAAATTCCATACTCTTATATTAATAATTATCTTGATTTCTTTTCTCTATTTTCAATCAATTTAGGGGCAGTAACTCTTGAAATACTTCAGAAAACAACAATTATCCACATGCTGTAATTCAATATAATGGGTAATTCATTTATTTACAAAGAACTTTTTGAAAAATTCCATACTTTGCAAGTATGTGCATTGACCACAGTGTCAGACCAAAAATACATCTCACAACTAATTCAGGGGGGATAACTTCAAGTTTAATAAAATATCATAGTAGTTACAAACATGCAATTAATAGTAATTATAAAATTTCTTAATGACATTCTCCCTATGTGATAAAATTTATATCAAACTTTGCTGAGTTTTTTTTTATACTAAGATTCTGTTATAGAGGATATTGACTTCCTCCAGTAAATTCTTTCAAGACTTGGTTCAATGATAAACCTTAACCTCTTAAATTTTTGTATCGGATTTACTCTACTGCAATCTTGAAACAGTCTATTCAAAGTTTAAGAGATTCATGTATCAATATACAAAATGTACAAAAAATATAAGATACCCGGTACCAACAGTGTAGAACCAGGCCACACTGCACTTATATACAGGCTGACTGGGCTCTATACTAGTGGCAAAGGCTAATCACTTTCACTTTCAATTGGTTGAATGTTTGAAATATTTCTTTCACAAAAAATAATGACTAGACCTTCATTCAGGCAAGATAAAAGATTTAAACCAGATCAATTGTCAGGCTTCTCTATTATCACAGTCCTTTTGAGTCTGAAAATAGTAGCACCAGTCAGTCAAAATGACAAGATTAACTTGATAGTGAAATATCCACATCATAACTTAGCAGCTGATGACAGAATCCAAGCCTGAAATAAGATAAGGAATAATTAGAAATAATTATTTTCATTCATTATTCGTTTATGGAATAGAAATGGACTGTGTGTGTGGTTTTTATAGTAGGGTTTCTACGTCACACCAACACGACCAAGGTCAAATGGGGACTTTCAAGTTTTACTGGTGGAGAAAGACCTCAGTTGCCCCTCTGTATTTCAGGCACAATCGGGCACAAGTCGAACTATTGACGTTCTGTTAGATAGGGACTTTGTGTGTCTCTGACTTTTGAAAAAGCCCTTTAACTTAAGTATTTATAAATGTTTTGTTGTTTTGTTTGGTTTTAAGTTGCACCAACACTTGGGTTATGGTGACTTTTTAGCTTTATTGGTGGAGGAACGCCTCGGGGCATCCCTCCTAGCATCATTTCAGATATTAGCAGACACATAAGTAGAACCACCAACGACATTTCATCGGCTATCTGAATAACTTCCAAACATGAGAGGTCAATTCTTATCACACTTTAACTCATAAGGTATAAAATTATAAAGAATCTTGTCAAAAAACAAGATTTTGTCCAGTAAGAATTTTGTTATTTATTTTGCTATAAAATAAGACAAGTACCTGTCCAGCTGTATATTGTGAGGTAGAATCTGCCAGCAGAACTCTAGCTCCAATCACTGTATCATTCTTACATTGTATACATTGTAAATACTGTATACAACATCCTAATGTCTCGTCATATACACTGTTCAACATTAAACCTGAAAAAAATATATATACAGTCAATATTGTCAGTAAAGGCTAGGTTTGGGTAATGAGAATATTTAATGTAGATTTCTGATTTAACAGAACTGGTGATCACCAAAATGGTTTGTTTTGTAAATAGAAACTTAAGTCTCGTAAGCTAGCTGGATAGCTTCCTCACAAAGAATCTAAAGTCTGTAACTGTATTCAAACCCTTTGCCGCCAGTGGAAAGCACTTTGATATCAATGACCTCAACCACTCCGCAACGGAAACACCTACAGTTGTGTTCAATCTTCTCTGTGTTCAATCTTCAACAATAAAGGTATTTGAAAAATCCTTTTCATTCAAAGAACAGTTAAAAATTCAACTGCAAGGTTACTTTTTATAATTAATTAGACAAGCAAGTACACTTTATTACCTTTACTATTTGTTTCAGATTCAACTGTTTGTAATTGGCAATCCTTGGTCTTCATGTTGGGAAAATATATCAACTCTGTGTTCTTCTTGAAAACACAGGTCAGGAATTCTGGATGTTTTTTCTGCTTCTCATACTGGCCTAGTGGTAACAACTTATTACCACATTTTATACATGATAAACACTGGTTTTTGGCCTGAAAGATAGGAAATGAAGCATAAAATAATAGCAATAGAAAAACTGTTATAAAACATTAATTTAACAAATAGAAGTTTGTTTGGCTTTTTTTAAAATAAAAATGTATTCTTCTTCTTCTGCAGGAAGAGGTGGGAAAAGGAAAATATCTCGTTAAGCACTATTAACTTCTTTTGGGTCCTTTTTACCATCTTAAATTGCAGAAGACCCTAGACAGACCTCTGTGCTTTAATGGTTTATTTAAGCACCAGCCAGTAATACAGTCAACTCCGCTTATAACAAACTCAATGGGACATTTAAATATCGTTTGTTATATCCAAAGTTCGCTAAAAGCGAAGTAAACATTTTGCTGACTTGTTTGGGTGGAAAAATTTGCTGTGAAAAAGGCATACCTGCCACTGGTTACCGGTATAATTCGTATTTTATGGCAGCGGTAATTTAACGCGGGTCATTTTATTGAACAATATATTATGTACATGGTACATGTATTTAGACAAGTAGTACTTGTTTATAAAGTGTTTACAATTTGTATTCTTTTACTATTTGTTTGTTATTGTTTGCTTAATACTGCAAACAAAAATCGGTTATTTGGTAATCAGCAACTTATTAACTGAGGGTGCGAAATACAAATTAGAAAATTATGTTATGAAAACATTTAAAAAATCTTTATTCTGTGCAATCACTCGATTGAATAATTATCAGATAGCGGTATTCATGTACTGATCTTTATCGAGAGCATCCTGATATTTCAATTATAACAGTTTGTTTTAACAGAGGAAATTAACATGTTTTTCGCCGTTTGGGACTTGAAAAAATGGTTCGCTATAGCCGAAAATTCGTTTTAAGCGAGTACATATTAAGCGATGTGATTTAATATAAAATAAAGAAGGAACAGGCCGGGGATGTCAGATTTATTTCGCTATTAAAGATAATTCGTTATAAGCGAGTTTGTTATAAGTGGAGTCAACTGTAGTAGAGAAAGAAGACCTTCAGCATGCTAGTTGAAAATGGACTTCTTCACACGAAAAACTTCACCTGGCAAGATTCTTGGCAAGTGACAATCTCAATAACTCCTCCCCTCTTCTACATACTACTTGACATGTACTGTATAAGTGGTAAAGTTAGCAAGATGGAAATATTTACTCTAGCATAAATATCAACCAACCTGTCATTAAATGCTACACTTGCACGATTCGCTAATATTTCCTCAAGCGCAAATTCTTGAATTTTTTTAATTCGCTAGCTTTTCCACACGCAGAAATATCCACTTAGAAAGTTATTCATTAAGTAAAAGTAAAGAATTTACTATTATATCTTCCTGCAATAAGAATTTTACCTTATTTTCTTTTTCATCAGTGTTTTCATTATCATCGTATGTGACACCTTTTCTGGACCGCTTTGACCACTCTTGAAATTTACTTGTTGATTTACGTTTCCTTCCACCACGTCTTCGTGTATTGAGAAACTCCTCGTCTGAATTCACATCATTACCTTAATAAAGTAAAAGATTGCTAATTATTTGTAACAACAACAGGAGAACAATGTGAATGAAAACCATCAGGTTAGCTAATGTCTTTTGGAAAATTTCACATTTTAAATCAATTATGCTACTTTGCACCAGCGTGTTCTAACTGACTTTCACAGCTCAGAACAGTTCACTATTTATGGGAGAAGATAATCAAGTAGACAGATAGCTCAGTCGGTAAAGCAGCAGACTGTGATCCGAGGGTCCCTGTCGAGCTGCACATTTTTCTCTCTTTGCAGTGGTTGTTCTCTCATAATTGGGAAGAGGCATCAGTCTCTTGATTTTGGGGAAAAATATCACTTAAAAGGCTGGTGTAAGTGTAAGATTTTTGGGAAAATGCATGATATAAAAAAAAACCTTCGATTGGGAAAAGGCTTTGTATAGGCTTCTGTTATAAAGTTGAACAAGAGCCATGTCAACATGGCCATCCCCCGCCGAATGTGTTTGCTCATTGGAAGAATGTATATGTAGTAGAGCGGAATAATTCCATTTTAAGAGGTCTTTTGGTAATGAAAACTGATGGCTATAGTGATTACAGATTTGAAACCTATGTGAATACTGATGGCTGAAAATAACAAAGGGCAATTACTGAAAAATAATGCAGGGTAGGTTTGAGGTTATCATTCTTGTGTGCTGCATCCCTCCTCAGTAAAATCTATCCACCTATGAAGTTTCAAGTTGATACCTCAAATACTTTTTGAGAAAAAAATTGAATTGAAAAATTAAGTATGAAAAAGAACAAAGGGCAATAACTCAAAAATTATAAAAGGTATAGTTATCATTCTTGTGCAGTGCAAACCTCCTGAGTGAGATCTATGCACCTATGAAGTTTCATTTTGATATCTCAAAGGCTTTTTGAGTTATGCTCTGGACAAAAATTAATTTTGAAAAATAACAAAGGGCAATAACTCAAAAAATAATGCAGGGTAGAGTTATCATTCTTAAGCACTGCACTCCTCCTCAATGAGATCCATCCACCTTTGAAGTTTCAAGTTGATACCTCAAATACTTTTTGAGATAAGCTCTGGACAAAATAGCATGAAAAAAAAACAAAGGGCAATAACTCAAAAATTGTATAGGGAAGAGTTATCATTATTGCGCACAACATTCCTCCTCAATAAGATCTATCCACCTATGACATTTCATGTTGATATCTCAAACACTTTTTGAGTTATGCTCCACTCAGGTGAAAAATTAGGTATGAAAAATAACAAAGGGCAATAACTCAAAAATTAAGAAACGTAGAGTTATCATTCTTGTGCACTGCACACCTCCTGAGTGAGATCTATGCACCTATGAAGTTTCGTGTTAATATCTCATAGGCTTTTGGAGTTATGCTCTGGACAAAAATCAATTTTGAAAAATAACAAAGGGCAATAACTCAAAAATCATGCAAGGTAGAGTTATCATTCTTGTGCACTGCACTCCTCCTCAATGAGGTCTATCCACCTATGAAGTTTCAAGTTGATAACTCTAATACTTTTAGAGATATGCTCCGGACAAAAATGTCGGACGGAAGGACAGACGGACGGAAGGTCGGACGGACGGACGGAGACTATTTCTATATCCTCCGCCGAAAATTTTCGGCGGGGGATAAAAATCACTGCCCTATAACATGTCTTTACAAAAAAAAATTGTCTACAACTGTTCAAACTGAAAAACTTACTAAGAATTTTATGTTTTTAGGCCTTTGGAACTTAAAGGAGTTTCTTTAAGAACACATTACATTGGTAGTTTGAACTTTTTTATTATAAGTGTAATGTATATGTTCGGTAGTATTAATTCTAGATAGCTTACCTAAAAGATAAAAAAAGTTAAACATTTAGTAGATTATGAAATTTAGTGATGTAAGACTGTATATGATAAAAAACATAAATAAAAATAATCACCTGAAGCCGATTCCCCATCTAATAATTCCTCCCCAACATTCTTCTTATCTTTTGCTTCTTGTAGAACATCATCTGACTTCTTTCTACCCTGTTGAACTTTATCTACCACTGACATATCTACCTTCCCTCTTGTTGTAGGCTTAGTCCTTCTTCCTCCTTTACTCTCTTCTTTAAAATCATCAGTATTATCTTTATCATTATTTACTTCATCGATATTAATATCTCCATCTTTTGATGTTCCCTTACAGTCCTCAATCTCAGATTTTAGTGTTTTTGAAGAAAGTGAATTTCTTTTCTTGAAAATTGGTTTCTTCTTCGTGCTATGTTCTTTATCTAAATCAGCAAGATTATTTGTTTTATTTACACTCTCAGGAGCTGGTCCATCTGTCTGGCCATCTTCAAAGAGTACAGGTGATGTACATGTAGGCTGTAACTGTCTAATGGTTGATGTAGTTTGAGGATTGTGTGAAGATTTTGACATAGTCTGGAGGAGACTATCTGGTTCTATTTTCACAGAGTCAACAGTTTCTGTTTTGATTTCCTAAAAACAGTAACAATATTATAACAAAAAATTACATTTGTTCTTGTATAAATCCTATTCCACACAGAACTAGAGCTGTGTGATATATATGATAATACCCCCACAAGCAACTTTTACTTTTTAAAAAATTAGTGTTCTGAAGAAAAATTTGAACTTAACCTCAAGTAAATGAATTATCAACTGTGTACAAAGAATTATTTCAATTCATTGCAATACCAACTGGGGTCTTCATATAAGCTTGCTTAACACCAAGTTTGTTTCCAGTATCTCATTCCTAACTTTAGTTATTGTCCAGAAACCATTTTCTATTTTTAGCAACAGTAACTTGACCCCAGGGGCTCCAAATGCAATACCAACTGGGGTCTTCATATAAGCTTGCTATACACCAAGTTTGATTACAATATCTCATTCACAACTCTAGTTATTGTCTGGAAACAATTTTTCTATATTTAGTAACGGTGAACTTGACCCCCATGGCAGTCCAAATCCAATACCAACTTGGATCTTTATATAAGATTGCTATACACCATGTTTGCTTACAATATCACATTCCCAAATCTTATTATTGTCCAAAAAACATTTTTCTATTTTAGTAACGGTGACCTTGACTCCAGTGGGTCCAAATGCAATACCAACTGGGGTCTTCATATAAGCTTGCTATACACCAAGTTTGATTACAATATCTCATTCCTTGCACTAATTATCGTCTGGAGACCATTTTTCTATTTTTTGTAACAGTGACTTTGACCTTGACCCCAGGGGGACCAATTCCAATACCAACCAGAGTCTCCACATGTGGTTGCTATATACCAAGTTTGATTACAATACCACATTCCAAACTGTAGTTATTGTCCGGAAACCATACACAAACAAGCTGACTCATATATACAAATCTAAATGTAACATTAGAATATGTACATGTATTTTGTAAAACAGCTTTTTTCTTTGTTCTCTTCTTTTCAGCAGTAATCATCTTAAAAATAATGAAATAATAAAACTTTATTTCATCTAAATATTGCTGCAATTAATTCCCAATTATATTAATAATTAATTAAAAACCTGTTCAGATTGTCTCTGAGGTGTAACAGCTGCCACTGGAACTTTAGCTGGGGTTTTTGGAAGCTGGCAAAATTTTAGGAACTTGTTCTGAGGTTCTGGATCTCCTGTAGAGGAATCAGGCACCACCACTTCCTGTTCTATCTTGACTGGTTTTTTGTCCTCTGTTTTGACTGGATCTAGTGTTTTAACTAAACTGTCATCAGTTTTCTCTAGAAATAACATCAGTAAATCAACTTATGTGTCATGTCAGTCCAATTAAATAATATATCGAGGATATCATCATTTCTTATCACTTTTAAGTATAAGGTATTTTACAATCAGTGCTTGAATTTACACTTTTTGGCACTTGCTATAGCTTTGAAAAATAGCTTACATACGCCCCTCAATAACATAACGAAGACTAGAAATTAAATTCAAGTTTAGACATGAAATAATTTCTTATTGCAACACAACATTCAAATTTATTATCCATCTTAATTGGACAAAAAAAGTGTTTTTATATTGCAATATTAAAACCTATATAAAGGAGTAAAATTCATTTGCTCAATCATCTATTACCAGACAAAGAGGTAAAAACAAATTTTCAGAGGAGGCTGGAGAATACAGATCCAAATGCAAATTTGCCAGTAACGGGTAGATAAATCTTTGAAAAAAACAGTGTATTATTACCAAAACTAAACATAGGTATTGCTGGTATACATGCCAGCAAAATATGTCTAAAGTCACACCTACAGTCTTAAAGTACTCATAATAACACAAAATCAGATATCTTGAGTGTACATATTACATAAAAAATCAAATTACATGTAATTACCTGCTTCAATTTTCTTTTCCGCGTTAGGTTTAGATTTTCCTTTTTTGTTTGGTTCAATAAAGAATGCCCTCTCATTTGTCTCCCCTTTATTAACAACAACATAATAGGCCTGATTTCGTGGAGCTTGACTTGAACTAACAAATTTCTTCAGTTGTTCTTCTGCACTAAGTGTGCTTGACCCAAGAGTGAACACTATATCTGCTTTCTTTTCTTCTTTAGACACATTTTCTGATTTTATGCCATCTGTTGAATTTGTTTTGTCCAGCTGATTACCTCCCCTGAAATCAGATTTTAGACTGGTTCCCGGAATAGTGGCAGACTGTGGCAAGTTGGTTCCCTGCACTGGAAGTTGGGGCATTGTCAGTAAAACAGTTTGATGCTGACTGGTTCCAGGCATGTTCAATACCACTTGTTGACCTGCAGCTTGTGTTAAGGGTACAATTGGAGGAACCATTGATAGCATCTGGGCGGGCATCTGCTGATTGCCTAAATCACATAAAACAGCAAATAATAAGATTCATGTTTTTTAAAATGTTCAGTAAAAATCTGAACATTCTAAAAATATCTTGTGTAAGGTCTCAGAAGCATTAACTACTAAATACGATTTGTCTGCAAAATTTCATTGTATCAAGAGAAACAGAAAAGCTTAAAAGAACTTTGATTTAAACTTTAAATGAACTCCACTCAGGTCCAAAACTCTAAAGACACAAAATTTAAATTTCTTACATAGATCAGCTGAGGCACATAAAACAGAAAGATATGCAAAAAATAATTTAGAAATATATCAATTGAAAAGCACATTTTTGTGCTATTCTTAGCCAGATTAGAGTCATTTTTCACAATTAGAATCAATACATTGAAAAAAAAAATAGAGTAAGTGAAAAACAATAGAGTAAGTGAAAAAAGTTATTGGTCAAGACCTACATCAAATGGAACATTAATTACGAAAAAAGAAATTTTAGTCCTGTCATGTCCCAAAAAATGAAGTTGAGTCCCTTTAAATTTTCAAAGATAAATTACTGCTATTTTTAATGGGAATCAAATAATGTAAACTAATTTTTGTCATTTTCAATAAATCAAGTTCATGATATAATAAACTCAATGATTTACTTCTGATCATTTACCTCCATGTTTGTTTGGTTCTATAAGAAATGTTTGTTCACTCGACGTCCCTTGGTTTACAATAATGTAATATGGCTGATCTTTTGGTCCTGTCCCTGAATTAATCACATTCAGAATCTGCTGCTGTATATTAAGGGAGGTTACTCCTGTAAGCACCTGTTGCTGTATTGTAGGGGAAGTAACTCCAGCAAGCACCTGTTGGTGCACTGTAGGGGAAGTAACTCCAGGAAATACTGGAACAGCTGGGCTAGTTAATGATCTTCTCTTGCTTGAGGTTTCAGGAGTTCTAAATAGATTTTGCAAATCTGGAGACTGACTCAATGGTGGACTTCTGTAGTTGAAATAAACAAGTAATTCTAAAATAAGTTAACAAATAAAACAAGAGCTGTCACAGGAGACAGCCAAGCTCGACTAATAAAATACTGGACACAGTAAGGAGGACAAAACTATGAAAGAAAAACCAATTATGTATAATTATGTATTAAGTTATAGTAAAAAAATATCATTTATTAACATAAATTCCAAGATCAAGGGAAATAATTCTAGAAAAAGTCATGCTAGAGTTATGAACCTTTCACACAACATGTGTGTAATGATAAGAAATATATATTTGAAGTTTGAAGTAGATACCTTAAAAAGTAAAGAAGTTATAATATTTCTTAAAGAAAATCCTAAGTTCAAAGAAAGATAAATCTGTAAATATTGCTTTCAAGAGTTACGAAAATTGTCACTTAAAATGTAATTGATGATAAGGAATAAGTATTTGAAGTTTGAGGTAGATACCTTTAAAACTAAAAAAGTTATAGTAAAAAATAACATTTTTCTAGTAAAAAAAATCTAAGTTTATGGGGAGATAATTCTTGCAATATTAGTGCTAGAGTTATGAACCTTGCCACATAATATGTGGATGATGATAAGTTACATATATTTGAAGTATGAAGTTGATCCCTTTAGAAATAAATAAGTAACAGTAAAAAATATTATTTTTTTAAGGAAAATTCTAAGTTCAAGGGGAGATAAATCTGAAAATATTAGTGCTAGAGTTATGAACCTTGTCACATAAGATGGGATGATGATAAGGTACATATATTTGAAGTATGAGGTTGATCCCTTAAGAAATAAAGAAGTAACAGTAAAAAATAGTATTTTTTAAGGAAAATTCTTAAGTTCAAGGGGAGATAAATCTAAAAATATTAGTGCTAGAGTTATGAACCTTGTCACATAAGATGTGGTTGATGATAAGGAACATATATTTGAAGTTTGAAGTTGATACTTTAAGAACTGACAAAGTTATAGTGAAAAATATCTTACTGCACCAAAACTTTAATCTGAAATCTGGACGCGGACGCCGACGCCGGGGCGAGTAGGACAACTCTCCATATACTTTGTATAGTCGAGCTAAAAATCACAACATAACTAAACTTTAACACTTGTGTTATGTTTAAAAAATACTTTTCAAAGGTTGTATAAGCAAAAGTTCAAAAAATGTTTTCTGCACTTGTGACCTTGACCTAAGTGTCATCTTACTCCAATGAAAATTATAGTTCAAGGAATCTGTTAAAGAAATTTATCAACAAATAAGAATAACTAGAACTATCACTAAATGTGATTAATACCCCCACAAGTCTGCTTCGGAAATGAGGATGTTACTAGTAACAGAATACCTTGTAATATAATTGAAACATAGAGTTATGGTTGTGGGCAATTAAAGATAATTCATATATGTTGCATTTCCTTTCAATGTGGTTGGCCATTGATGAAGTTTAATTGAATTAATCTGTAATAAGTCCAGAAAGACAAAGAAAAAGAACAAAGGGCAATAACTCTATAAATACTGAAGATAGAGTTATAGTTCTTGTGCACTGCACTTCCTCTTATTGTGCTTGACCATTGTATGAAGTTGTTTTGAATTCCAACCAGTATGTTTTAAGATATGCTCCGGACAAGGAAAAGTATCAAAGGGGCAGTAACTCTGTATTTTGTCAAAATGGATTTATGGCTCTTGTGCACTGCACTTCCTTTTAATGTCCTTGACAACTGTATGAAGTTGTACTGAATTCCAAACAGTAGTTTTCAAGTTATGTTCTGGACAAGGAAAAAGTAACAAAGGGCAATAACTCTGTAATTAATCAAGATGGAGTTATGGTTCTTATGCACTGCACGTTTCCTCTCAAATGTGCTTGACCATTGTATGAAGTTATAATGAATTCCAACAATAAGTCTTCAAGTTATGGTCCGGACAAAAAAAAAGCAATGGAAAAGTAACAAAGGGCAATAACTCTGTAATTAGTCAAGATGGAGTTATGGTTCTTGTGCACTGCACTTCCCCTTATTGTGCTTGACCATTGTATGAAGTTGTTTTGAATTCCAACCAGTAGTTTTTAAAGTCAATGCTCTGGACAAGGAAAAGAAACAAAGGGCAGTCACTCTGTAATAAGTCAAAATGGAGTTATGGTTCTTGTGCACTGCACTTTCCTCTCAATGTGCTGGACCCATTGTATGAAGTTATAATTAAATTGCAACAATTAGTCTTCAAGTTATGGTCCGGACAAAAGAAAGCAATGGAAAAGTAATAAAGGGCAATAACTCTGTAATTACTTTAGATAGAGTTATGGTTCTTATGCACTGCAACTTCCTCTCAATGTGCTTGACCATTGTATGTAGTTATATTGAATTCCAACCATTAGTCTTCAAGTTATGGTCCAGACAAAAAAAGAAGGCAATGGAAAAGCAACAAAGGGCAATAACTCTGTAATTACTTTAGATAGAGTTATGGTTCTTGTGCACTGCACTTCCCCTTATTGTGTTTGACAATTATATGAAGTTGTTTTGAATTCCAACCAGTAGTTTTTCAAGTTATGCCACGGACAAGGAAAAGTAACAAAGGGCAATAACTCTGTAATTAGTCAAGATAGAGTTATGTTCTTACGCACTGCACTTCCTCTCAATGTGCTTGACCATTGTATGTAGTTATATTGAATTCCAACCATTAGTCTTCAAGTTATGCTCCGGACAAGGAAAATGCAACGGACAAAAAAAAAGCAATGGAAAAAAGCAACAAAGGGCAATAACTCTGTAATTACTTTAGATAGAGTTATGGTTCTTGTGCACTGCCACTTCCCCTTATTGTGTTTGACAATTGCATAAGTTGTTTTTGAATTCCAAAACCAGTAGTTTTTCAAGTTATGCCACGGACAAGGAAAAAAGTAACAAAGGGCAATAACTATGTAATTAGTCAAGATATAGTTATGTTTTCTTACGCACTTGCACTTTCCTCTCAATGTGTTTTGACCATTGTATGTAGTTTATATTGAATTCCAACCATTAGTCTTCAAGTTATGCTCCGGACAAGGAAAATGCAACGGACAAAAAAAAGCAATGGAAAAGCAACAAAAAGGGCAATAACTCTGTAATTACTTTAGATAGAGTTATGGTTCTTGTGCACTGCACTTCCCCTTATTGTGTTTGACAATTGCATGAAGTTGTTTTTGAATTCCAACCAGTAGTTTTCAAGTTATGCCCCGGACAAGGAAAAGTAACAAAGGGCAATAACTCTGTAATTAGTCAAGATAGAGTTATGGTTCTTGTGCACTGCACTTCCTCTTAATGTGCTTGACCCATTGTATGTAGTTATATTGAATTCCAACCATTAGTTTTCAAGTTATGCTCCGGACAAGGAAAATGCAACGGACGTCTGGACCGACCGACCGCCCGACCGACCGACCGACCACCGGGTGACTCCTATATACCCCCCCCCCCCCAAACTTCGTTTTTGGGGGTATAATAAGAATTCAGTCAATAAACAAGAGTTTCATGAGCAGAAGTGTAAAAATATATTTTAAGCATGAGTGACCTTGACCTCTGTGAACCCACCAACTTGTGCTGTCATCAAAAATACTATTAAACGGCATCCAAGTTAGTTAAGCCATGGTAAAATATAGCCTATAAACACTTATTTTGACAGACATAGAATAAAAGATAACCTGTTTAAAGTGAATATGACTTTTGCCGTTTACCTTCCACAGCTAATTATAAATTTACACCAAGAAAAGCTAGAACAATTTAGTAAAACTTTCAGCCATTTATTAATTATCTGTTCTTTATCTTTGATAATGAAATACCTAGATGCCCCCATACAGAGGCAGTGTGTATATTCAAGCTGTCTGGCCAGGCTCTATACAACTAAAAGCTCAATCTTATTATTATTATATTATATAAGGAGCAATCTAAGATAGCTTACAGAAGATCTTAGATTCTATTCATGTATTAATCTGTAAGAAATATTGGATGAAGGAGCATCAAAGATCTTCCATAGTAACTCAAACTACAAAAAGATAACAAAATACTTACGTGAAGTAAGGTGAAGCCTGTATAGTACTATTTAAGTATGAATTATCTAGTGAATGTCTCTTATAAACAGAATCTCTTCTGTCGTCACATGGTGTACTGGGAATAAATGATGTGTCTGGACTGTAAATAATCAAGTAAATCATTTTACTATTGAGATATATTTAGACATATGTACACCAATAACATGTATATAATTCGTCACCTTAGTGCAGTAATGAGTTAGGACCTTCTCAATTTAATAGGTGTTGACCAGTTATTGCACTAGGTGACAATATTATCTCTTACCAAACTTAATATCTTAATTGTACTTGTCCATCTTTCAAAATGGCCAAACCATTCATTATATTTTAGAAAGAAGTAAAGTAAGTTCTTACTAAATAGCAAACAATGCATACAATCATCAGTGCCAGTCAATCTTGGTCTGCACTGGTCAAATGCAGATAAAACAGATATATAATCATAACAAAACTTATTATCAGACAAAATAAACAAATTGCTAAAACTGTATAAAATATAACCATTTCATCTCAATATAATATTTGAATTAAATTAGTAAATTAACATTCTTTGAAAACTATCATTACTAAGGGTAGAAACATTTTTTCCCTAATTTTGTATTCTGTTAACAAAACAGAGATATGGAAATTTTACAAAATGAACTTTCTGGTTAGATAAAAATTCAAAAACAACTATTTCAAGAAAGGTTCAATATCTTTAATATTCTGGTATATACATATACTTACCTCACTTTTGGCATTTCTTTGATCATTTTCTCAGTAAAGTTTGACATGGACGTGAGAAAGTCAGAGAACACATCAAATGTTTGTACCTTCGATCTTACCCATCTTGACAAACCTATTAATACACATAAAACACACAATGGAACTATATAATAATGATTAAAATTATTTTCTTTGAACTCTAAATTTGATTTCTAAAAACCTGATTATTTCTGTATTTCCAAAAACATACTCATCTGCTATAAATATGAACTTTCTTTTGCTTGCTATTCCTGTTGGCTGTTGGTATAATATTTATTTTTTTTTGTATGAAAGTTAAAATACTACTTTGTTTACATTTTTGCTACCTTTACAACACATAACTACATCTTCAGCGTTACTTAAAAACACAAATTTCTGAGGCATAATGTGCCTTTAAGTTCTTTGAATGCTTGACATATTCGCATGAATTTTTTGTTTCTTTCTGGTCTTCTAAATAATGGAGTCAATAATAAGTGCAACATGGTCAATGATGGACAGGGAAAGCATTTGTATTTAGAATGAAGAATGCAAGAATTGGATTTTAAAATTGTCTGGACTGGACAACAATCCTTAAAGAGGAAAATTGTTTGAACTTGACAATATGCTAGATTATAGAGTATATAGATTAGGAAGTTTTTACTGCACTTACTCTTGCAATATTTTTCTGTTCTTTTAACAAATCTATCATCAACAATGATCAAGGCTCCCCAGTCTTTTCTGTAAGATAAACAGAACATTCTTACATAACACAACCATAATTTTAATTTTCTGTGGAGAATCAAAGTATTCCTTTTATAAGTAAGATATAGGTCAATGAGAAAAATCAAATTAACATTTACGATTTCTAAAATTGAATAAACTTAAATGAACTTACCTGTGTCTTATACACCTTCCTAGAGCCTGGTTTAAGGCCCTAAATGCCTGGATTTCATACCAGTCACCTCCACTTAGAAGTCCTCTATCAATCTTATGTTTGTCGTTATATTCTCTCTTTAGTTTCACCTGGACATCTTTAAAGCTAGGATAAGGTATTCCAACCTATAAATAGATAAACATATATCAACATAAAAGCTTGGATAAGTTTACCAACCTATAAACAGATACGAGGTATGATCAAAATGTTCTCGGCCTGATATACTTCTAGCCACTATACTGACATTTACACATGAGATGCCGATGCCGATACCAATATCTTATTGAAGATTACTGACAGAGTGATGGTTTTACACAGATAAAGTAACATAAAACACACTTTGATCAGAAGAGGGGTGTATCATTTATACTAAACGGAGAAAGTTGAAATAAGAGCCGTCATTAAGTACCTCTGTACGAAAGAAAGGGATGTCCCCCAAGGAAATCCACGAGGACTTCATGGATACACTTGGGAAGGAGCCCCATTCCTATAGCACTGTGAAACAAGAGCTGTCAGTAGGACAGCAACGCTCGACTATTCTTAGTGCTTGATAGTAAAAAAAATGCTTGATAGGGTTACCCCCTCCTGTTTACAGGTTGGGGTCATGATGTTGAACAAGTGTGCAAAGTTTCAAAGCCATATGTCAATGGACTTTGAAAATATTTGAACTATTACAAAAACTTTAACGTAAATTCTAAGTCGAAAAAGGGGCATAATACTGTCAAAATGCTTGATAGAGTTACCTTCTCCTGTTTACAGGTTGGGGTCATGATGTTGAACAAGTGTGCAAAGTTTCAAAGCCATATGTCAATGGAATTTGAAAATATTTGAACTATTACAAAAACTTTAACGTAAATTCTAAGTCGAAAAAGGGGCATAATTCTGTCAAAATGCTTGATAGAGTTACCTCCTCCTGTCTACAGCTTGGGGTCATGATGGTGAACAAGTGTGCAAAGTTTCAAAGCCATATGTCAATGGACTTTGAAAATATTTGAACTATTACAAAAACTTTAACATAAGTCGTTACGCCGACGCGGACGCCGACGCTTGGGTGACTGCAATAGCTCTACTTATTCTTATCGAATAGTCGAGCTAAAAATGGGCTGCTGAATTAAAGAGGGGCAGGGAGATTATTGGAGATGATACTTACTGTAATGACAGCTCGGGCATTGTCATCAGCAAAATCCATCCCCTCGCTAACTTTACCGCGGCATACAGCAAAGAACAGAGCGCCATCTATATCCGAGTCATCATCATTACACTCAGCTATAAAGTGTATAAAAAATATATTATATTATCTTAACTACTCTTGTTTTACAATACTTAACAGTATATTTGACATTGTATTATTTTTGTGGCTATGACAAACAGTTCTTATTCACCAATATAGTATTAGAGCAGTATGGACTGCTGAGTAAAATTCAATTTTCCTTCACTTGATTCAAATGATACAGACAGACATGAAATTGCTAACAGACAGACAGATAGACAAACATTCATTCCATGTTTACACTATGGTTTCTTCTTTAACCACTAAAAGCCCCATAAGCAACCACTTTCCAACCCATAAACATTTTTTCCCTCACAAATTTAAATACATGTACAGTATGTAAGGAATAAATATGGACATTCATCCTTGAGGATCCTTGAATTAATCTTGATCTTTGTTTTTTTGGGGTTTTTTTGTCTTGATATGAAATTTATGTATGCATAAGTCAATTTTTTCATGTTATAATCATAAATAAATGCACAACTAGGGATGATACTGATCACTCCTGTGTAGTTCCAATGAATTTCCCCCAGCGGTTTTTTAAATGAAGCTCGAACAACATTTTTCTATTTATAGCTCTGGCGGCTATTTTGTGCAGTGGAGCAATATAAACTATGGATGATACTGATAATTCATGTGAAGTTTCACTGAAATCCCCCAGCGTTTTGGTGATGAAGCACGGACAAGCACATTTTACTTAAAAATTGACAATTAAGGGAGTCCATAATTGTGCCCCCAAAAAAAAAATCAAGCTGAAAATCAAGAGAGTATGCACAGCTAGGCTTGGTGACAAACAATCCTGTGAAGTTTCATTGAAATCCCCCATCGGTTTTGGTGATGAAGTGCGGACAAGAATATCGGACGGAGGCACGGACAGTACGATTACTATAAACCATCCTTTGGGGGCATAAAAATTTTGCTCAGTAAAATTTTTACCAATTTTTCTAAGATTTGGTTCATACAATCAACATGAAGAATGGATGTTTTTTTGTTGATGCTGTAGCCCATACCCAAAGATATATGAAAAAGGGGCATTTCACATTCAGGAACTGAATGGAGAATCTGTTTAATAAACGTAAAGTCTATCTGGATAAATCTCACTACGCAAACCAATGGAATGTATGTCAACAAATTAGTTAAAGAGACGCTAATAAGAAAACAATAAATGTTTTAAACAGATACAGTTGCTAAAAGGTTGCTCCTTTTGAACTGTTTAAATCGTTTACCTTATTCTTTTATGCTTCTAACTTATTGGATAACAGCCAAACATAAAAAAACAAGAGGGCCATGATGGCCCTGAGGTCGCTCACCTGTATATAGGCCCCCCCAACCCCCAAATGTTGCAGGGCCAATTTAACCCAAGGGCTTTTATTTGCACAAACTTGGTAGACACCCATAAGAAGATGTTTCATGCTAAACATCTAAGCTCTAGCTCATTGGGCTTTTTAAAAGAAGATTTTCTTTTAAGTTTTTACTATACACATATAGTTAAAAACAATGACACCCCTGGGGCCGGGCCAGTTTTGACCCCAGGGCTTATATTTGAACAAACTTTGTAGACACTTACTAGAAGATGTTTCATGCTTAATATCTAAACTCTAGCTATTTGGGTTTTTCCAAAGAAGATTTTAAGTTTTTGCTATACACATATAAAGAAAATCAATGACCCCCGGGGCGGGGCCAATTTTGACCCCTGGTCTTTTATTTGAACAAACTTTGTAGACACTCACTAAAAGATGTTTCATGCTTAATATCTTAACTCTAGCTATTTGGGTTTTTTCAACGAAGATTTTTTAACCATATAAGGAAAATCAATGACCCCCGGGGCGGTGCCAATTTTGACCCCAGGGCTTTTATTTGAACAAACTTGGTAGACACCTATTAGAACATGTTTGATGCTAAATATCTTAGCCATAGCTCTTTGAGTTCTTTAAAAGAACATTTTTTAAGTTTTTACTATATGCACATAGGGAAAATCAATGACCCCCCGGGGCGGGGCCAATTTTGACCCCAGGGCTTTTATTTGAACAAACTTGGTAAACACCCATTAGAACATGTTTCATGCTAAATATCTTAGCTCTAGCTCTTTGGGTTCTCTAAAAGAAGATTTTTTAATTTTTTACTATATGCATATAGGGAAAATCAATGACCCACCGGGGCGGGGCCAATTTTGACCCCAGGGCTTTTATTTGAACAAACTTGGTAGACACTCACTAGAAGATGTTTCATGCCAAATATCTAAGCTCTAGCTCTTATGATTTTTAAAAGAAGATATTTAAAGTTTTTTCTTTCGGTTGCCATGGCAACCAGAGTTCTGCATGGAATTAAATTCTTTGAGCAATTTTTAAAGGTGACCACAAAGGAAAAATTCCTGTGAAGTTTGGATGAAATTGGCTTAGTGGTTTATGAGGAGATGTCATTTAAAGTAAAAGTTTTACAGACGGACGACGGACGGACGACTGACGACGGACGACGGACTAAAAAGCGATCACAAAAGCTTCACCCTGTCACTTTGTGACAGGTGAGCTAACAAGATAAACGTCCTTTTTAAATGTCTTTTAAAACTGTCCCATTTATACTATACAAACATGGTGTGATATTTCCACTTTATAGAAATCATTTAATAAACAAACCAAGAGCTACATAAATAATGTTTTAAACCAGCTATATCACTGGATTTTCTAAATGACAATTATAATGCAATCAGATTTCAATTGTATTTTCTTCATGCATGTCATTTTTATTCATTTGTTTAAACAATAAATATATTTATAAAACCTGAATACCAGAAAAAAAGTAGACAAAGCTAGCCTTTCACTACAGCTTTAAATGTAATATATTGAATTTCTATTGTGGGTGTAACATGATACATAATATTTCATGCATCAAACTTTACAAGTTTTAAAATACAAATCGGATAGGCAATACAAACCATTGGATAGTAAGGAACTGACTTGTCAGATCAGAACTTAAGAAGACATTTTTTTTTCAATATCCTTATGAGAAGTTTAAACTGGTGAGTAAATTAACTCATTATCTATGTTTAAAACTTTAATAAAGTTTACTATGTTCTTTAATATATTATTCTAAAATGATTTAACATGAATAACCTTGAGAGACATTTTCTGTGCCCCACCCACAACTCAAACTGGATAATATTTTATTTTGTTGGGTTTGGTGTGTCAACAGCGATGTGTCTACTCTTTAAATGTCATAGAAGCCCTTAAAATGGTCCAATTTTACCAGAGCTGAAACAAACAGCTTTAGCTACTGGGCTAAAACTAACCTTTTAAAATCTTGATACCCCCAATATTGATAATGGACAACTCCCAAAATGGAAGATAGACAAGCCCATTTGAGAAATTCAGCAGGTTACCGGGATGGTATCATATTGGTTTCTTTTTAGGGAATTGGTATCCTCAGCTTAAAAAGCTTTTCAGAAAGTAAAAGGACAATGATGACATTTCGGATTTCAATTAAAATAAAAACGCATTTTCATGTCAACAAAATAAAATGAATTTACAGCAAGAATTAGACAGAAAATTATTTTCTTTCAAGTTTCTTTATTCATTATGAACATAAAGCCACTGTCAAACACTTCTAGAAAAATTTTCTTAAATTTTTTTCAGGTTACTTAATGGGCCCGTGCCGGGTAAAAAACGCATCTCAAAAACTGATCCCCAACATATCTCGAGTGGTGCCCGGAAAAATTTTGGGCAAAAATTCTGTGAAAAAAATGTGAAGAGATGACATCAACAAACCCGCCCCTTTTGGTTTCTGGGGGGGATTGTGAGGGAAAATTTATGTCAAAATTTTCCCTTAAAAACCCCCCAAAACGAAAACCAAAAACACAAACCCCTCACCCCAAATTTTTGAAAAAAAGATTTACATCCACATTAAAAAAAACCCCCAAATAAGTCAATAAAAACACTTCAAAGGGAAAAAAAAAAGGGGATTTATCCCAAACCTTGTAAACCCAAAAATACCAAAAAAATTTATCAAATTCTTAAATGTCCCTAAAAAAAAATGCTCTTATATGTAGTGTTTGGGTAACCCTTTCACAACAAAACACTCCCCCCCATGTGGACTTTCAAAACCGGGAAAATATCAGGAAAAGACTTTTTTAAAAAGCTGGAGTTTTAAAAAAACTCTGAAAATATTTTACAAAACTTTACAGACAAAGCTTTCAAAAAATAACAAAGGTTTTAAAAAAAAGGTTTCTTAAATTTTTCAACTTCCTGGAATGCTTTGCAGAAATAACAAATTAGGATAAAAAGAAAAAACAAGAGATTTAGAATAACTAAAAAAAGGAGGGGGTTTAAAGGAAACTGCTTCAACATTCAACAGGGGAAAAAACAAAAAATTGGGAAAAAAATAGAAAAAACATTTTTGAAAATAAAAAAAACACTTTTAAAACCAAACAGCTGGGTACTCTAAAAAATCTCAACAACCCCAAAAAAAAACTGACCAAAATGGTTTTCTGAAATTTTAAAAAAAGCTTTAGCAATATTTTTGCACAATGAAAATATAACTTTAAAAAAACTAAACCCAAAAAACCAATCATGTTAGATGAAAACACTTTTTTAATCCAAAAAAAGCAAAACAAAATTTTCCTTTACAATGAGAAATCTTTGGAAAAATTTATTTAAAAAAGGGAAATTTAAACAAACCCCGCTAAAACCAAAAAAAATAAAAAGGGTGGGGTACCAAAAGAAAAAAATTCTACCCCTTAAAAAAAATCAAATTTTTTAAAAAAATCATCAAATAAAATTTTAAGGGTGGGTTACGGGTTAAAAACTGTCTTTTCCTCAGAAACCCAATTTTTTGTAGAAAATTACAAAAAAATTCCTCAAAATTTAAAAAGATAGACATAAAAAAAGTTTGGAAAAAATCAAAAAAACACAGCTTGAATCAAGTCCCTTTGTTCAAACCCTGGGAACAGAGGTAACTTGTTTCAAAAACAAGTCAAATTAATACAATACAGTTCATTTTTCCTTCTCGCTCAAAACTCTTTCTCATTTAAAAATAAACTGAAAGTAGATGGATAATTGTCATGGAATAAGCCATTCATCAGGGGAAACTTGCAGTTACCTTTAATATCTCCTGATGAAACTCCAATCATGGACTTGAAAGGAAATATTAAAATAACAGTTGAGAAAGGGTTCCCCAATGGCTGACAGTATTTTCCAGTTAAACCCTTATTATGGGTCACAACAAAACAAGCCATTTAATTTCTATGTATCTGATTAACATCAAGAAATGTAGTTACAAGGTATAAAATTGGCAAGGGAACAGATGATAGGAAGGAAATGGTAGACATTAAAAGCTCCAAGTGGTATTTTCAACTGTTAGAATGACGGGTTCCTCTTTGTGAGTGATTACTTTGGAGTAAAATTGTATATATAGAGTAAAGTGGTGACTGTAAAGACAGGACAACTATACTGGAGAATGTAAAGGCTCCTCAAGCTATATGTTGGTGTGCTGAGACCAGTACATTTTATTTAAGTACAAACAGCAACACAGAGAGTAACAATATTATCAAAATGTATAAAATGATGTAGAACCAAGAAATGGTTATCAATGTGGACATAACAAAACATAAACAGTTGTAATTATATGTAAAATGATATGTATATATGCACACCAGTAAAATATATGTATATACGATAATGTATGCACGCAATTATTTTTTTTTTACAAATTTAAACCAGGGTTGGAGAGGGGGACTTTTTTCCATTGATGATTTATGATACTGTTTTCTTTTGTTTTGTCTTGTCAGATTATAAATTTCTCTTTCATTTTCCAAAAGAAAATAAAATATTTAAAATAATAAACTTATAATTGCAGTTTAAAATATACTTTTTAAAGGTTTTAAAGTAAAATGAGTGAAATTTAGGTAGTATTATAACTTAAAATAAATGTATTTCTGACACAAGATGTGAAATCAACTTGAGGTGTTCAGAATTATTACTGAAGATAAAGCAATGATATATAACAAATTTGACTGGATTTCTGAACCCACCCTCTTTTCTATTTCATGCTTGTTTTAATCAACTAACATTTTCTTTTTCAAATATGCTTAATGCCTTTTGTTTGGTTTTGTTCGTTATGTAAAAAAATGGTCCTTTTTTACAACTTCTACATTTCAATAAAGATAAAATAACTTATAAATACATTTGTATATCTATTCTTTTAGTCAATGAAAACATGTTTGTATTTGATCCTTATAACTGTTAATTTTTTTTTAACTTAAATAGTTTTTATTTTTTAAACAAGATGGTAAACTTTTTTGTCAGACAATGTGGAGGTCATTTTTTTAAACTGTTCATCTCTTCTGGTGGAGTCAGGGCTTTTTTCATAGTAAGGGGAAGGGGAGTCAAAATGAATGTTTGTAAATAATTTACCATGATATTTCATTGCAAAACTTTAACCAGGAATTCTTTATTAATTGTTCTAAAACAGTCACAATCAGTTATGAACCTGACGTCATGTATGAATTTACAAGCAAATACATTAACTGGTTTTTAAGATCAATCTTACATGCAAAACTCTAACTTACCAAAGGATTTTCGTTCAGTAAAAATGATTTTAGAAAGGTCATATCCTTGAAATGACTTAACTCTTTAAATGCAAGCTGCAATAATACTTTACCTTAGCAACTAGTAAAAAGCTGTCCATGCAGTCTACTGTAAATTTACTTGATTGTGTGGGCATGAAATTTCGTGGATTTTTGTCATTAAGTAGATTTTTTTTGTATATATTTTTCCAAAAGGTAAAATGTAAATAATGCCATGCAAAATAATCTCACAGCAGACAAAATTTATTTTGTTGGATCTTAAATTTGTGGACTGACCTATTCACGGAAGACAAAAAATTAGTGCTCCTTGAATAATATATTACAGTATTCTGCATTTTTCATATTGAAACCCCTTAAGATAACAATGGACTGTTCTAAAAGTTTCCAAGGGGGCAAGTCCATTACACAAATATAGTAGAGACAGGGTCAAATTACCTTCATCCAGATAGGATTATATAGATCTCCCTTGACAACCTCGTAGAATGCTTTCATCATGCCATCAAAATCTTCCCTATCAGCTGCTCTAGGCTCCACCATTACACGTTTACTAGTTGACAACTTATTCCATAATCCTGTAAGCTGTAAATTCAAAAGGTTGCGTTTCATGGAAAGTACTTAGTCTAAAATATGTCTTAAGACCAAAACTGAGACAATTTTGTTTTGAAGAAAATGTCCTTATATAAGACTCCTATGTTAAGACTTTTCAATTATTTCTAAATAGCTATGCTCAATTGCTGATTAACATTTACACATAGAAAATTGAAAAGCATGGCATTGTATTTTTTATCTTTTCTCCGGAGAATGACCTAAATAAAAGTTAAAAAAATATTTTTTGGAACAGTCTTAAGTAAGTCCTATAGTTTGTCATAAGTCCTAGGACTTAGGGTACACGTAGGACATTTTGTGAAATGCAGACCAGCTCTTATATAATCAGTTACACCACATCTTTTACAAGAATGCTACTTAAGCTGTCATTGATTCAGTGCAAAGCATTATCAACAAAGTATCGTTATCGGATAACAAATATCGATGATAAACCGATATATCAATAATTACTCATAATTAGTTGTCTTTGATTCACACCTGTTTAAATGATTTCAATAAAATATATGTTCTGTTCATAGAATTATGATGTGTCTTGTTGTTGTTTTTTTTAAGATCATGATTCCCCCAACCATTTTTGACATCACTGCTTTAAAATATGTCCATTATAAAACAACAGCATAGTTTTAGACATGGACCACTCGCTTCTGTGTGGTTAATTTTCATAATTTCTATACATTTAATTAGTAAAAATTATCCAATTTTTCAAATTTGTATCGAGAATTGATTGGCAGAAAAATATTGATGATACATCAACATTTTCTTTATTGATTTAGTATCCGATGTTGAATATAAGAAGTTTTCTGTGAAATGAAAGGAACAAGAACAATTTTAAGGATAAATAATTCACACCTAAAATAAAACTTTTCAAAATCATTAATTTCACAGTTAACACAACTTTAAAATCCACAATTAGCAAATTCACATAATTCAAACTTTATTGAATCATAGAATCAAATTTCACAAATCATTAATTCCACACAGAACAAATATTCAACAAGCAAATTCGTTGAATTTATATCCCCCGCCAAGTACTGGTTATTACTAACACAACAAGACATAAGGCTTTATTTATATATTTATCATGGCCTAAACAGTAATATTCTTTTAACATAATAAATATTCAGGGCAATAACAGAGCCATTACTCGGTGGAAAATAGTAATATCTGGACATTGCCATGAGAACTGATGTAAATTGCCTTTTTGTATCGATGGTTCCCATGAAGTTTTGTTGAAATCAATACAGCAGTTGCAAAGAAATAGCAATATTGCTCTTTATGCATACTACATAACTAATCAAGGACCATAACTCTGTAATGAAGGGTCTGCTTTGAACAAGGCAACAAAGAGAAGTAGCGCGGAAACAATCATTGCTCTATATGCATACTGCATAACTAATCAAGGGCCATAACTCTGAGTTAGTGTTGAAGGTTCCCATAATGTTTGCCCTATATGCATACTGCATAAAACTAATCAAGGCCATAACTCTGAGTTAAAGTGTCTGACCTGAACAAGGCGACGAAATGCCCATCTCCACTTGGTATTGAAGGTTCCCATAAAGTTTCGTTAATTCCAGCCAGCAGTTGCAGAGAAGAAGCACGGAAACGATTATTGCTCTATATGCATACTGTATAACTAATAAAGGGCCTAAACTCTGAGTTAAAGTGTCTGACCGGAACAAGGAGACGAAATGCGCATCTCCACTTGGTATTGAAGGTTCCCATAAATTTTTCGTTGAATTCCAGGCAGTAATTGCAGAGAAGAAGCAGGGAAACGATTTTTGCTCTATATGCATACTGCATAACTAATCAAGGGCCATGACTCTGAGTTAAATGTCTGACCGGAACAAGCCGACGATGTGCCCATCTCCTCTTGATATTGATGATCCCATAAAGTTTTGTTGAATTCTAGCCAATAGTTGCAGAGACGTAGTGTGGAAATGATTATTGCTCTATATGCATACTGCATAACTAATCAAGGGCCATAACTCTGTAATGAAGAGTCTGACCGGAACAAGGCAACAATATGCCCATCTCCTTTTGCTACTGAAGGTTCCCATAAAGTTTCCTTGCATACTGCATAATTAATCAAGGGCCTTAACTCTGAGTTAAAGTGTCTGACTGGAACAAGGCAACGATATGCACATCTCCTCTTGGTATTGAAGGTTCCCATAAATTTTTCGTTGAATTCCAGCCAGTAGTTGCATAGAAGTAGCATGGAAATGATTATTGCTCTATGTGCATACTGCATAACTTATCAAGGACCACAACTCTGAGTTAAAGTGTCTGACCAGAACAAGGCGAAGATATGCGCATCTCCTGTTGGTATTGAAGGTTCCCATTAAGTTTCCTTGAATTCCAGCCAGAAGTTGCAGAGATGTATTTATTCATTTATTTGTTTGGGTTTTACGTCACAACGACACACTGTTTTATAAAAATGTGTTATTATTTGGTCTTTAAATTGGTATGGTAAACAGACAGGTCCATATGGTAAACGTGCAAAAGTTTACCCTTAAATGCTACTCAAAATTTCCTAATGACTCTAAAACTTCCTATTTGGCTGGGTATCCTCTAGCCAATAAACTTAATTTTACGTGAAAAAATATTGCAAATGGGTTAAAAGTACCTGTTTCCAAATTAAGGTAAGGAAAAACACTAAACATTAAAAACATTTAACGTTTCTCTCTACCTTAAATCTGCCAATGTAGAAATTTTATGTAGAGAAAGGTTTACAGAGACCTTTACGCGATTGGCTCCAACCATTTTTAAACATCATCCAACTAAAACCATATGTAATTGAGACATACATGTAACTTACCTTGACAAAGTCATGTACTGAGTAAAGTCTGGATGAAATCAGCAGTTTTTGAAAAGTAGTCTGGACAAGTTTTGTGACGGACGGACAGACAGACATTCTCAAATTTTGATATTTAAGTGGCTGCCTTTTTGTTCTCTCTAGTGTTCGATTTGCCACGTAAGAGAAAATGTAGTCAAATAAGAGCTTACTGAATGAATAGCATCAAAGGAAATTTACTGTTACCTATTGTTTCCATAGCCCCCTTGGTGCAAGCCTTCTAGGACAAACCGTTACTTGAAGGATCAGGGAATAAGGCTTACTAATTGTTCAGGACTTCCGCTTTTACATGAACATGTGTCCTATGCAGATGAACGAACAAGAATATATCATTTAGTTTGACTCCGCAGCAAAGACAATTTGACTTATAATAAGGAAGTTATACGCTTTTTAAAAAATCTTATCGGTAATAAAATAAGAATAACAGTTAACGAATTTCATTCCAGGTATTCAACTATGCACATTTATTCATCAGCATATAAATGTTATAATACAACAGGCTTTCTTATCAAACATTCTCTTCTTGTGTAATATTACATGTATTCATTTTAAAATTTGCAGAGCAAATATGAAGTGTCGGTGGCTAAACATGGTTTAAATTATACAACAAGTTACAACAAGAGCAGTCGGTAGGACAGCAACGCTCGACTATTCTTAGTGCTTGATAGTAATAAAAATGCTTGATACAGTTACCTCCTCCTGCTTACAGGTTGGGGTAATGATGGTGAAAAAGTGTGCAAAGTTTCAAAGCCATATGTCAATGAACTTTGAAAGTATTTGAGGTATTACAAAAACTTTAACATAAATTCTAAGTCGAAAAAGGGGCATAATTCTGTCAAAATGCTTGATAGAGTTACCTCCTCCTGTCTACAAGTTGGGGTCATGATGGTGAACAAGTGTGCAAAGTTTCAAAGCCATATGTCAATGGACTTGGAAAATATTTAAGGTATTACAAAAACTTTAACATAAATTCTAAGTCGAAAAAGGGGCATAATTCTGTCAAAATGCTTGATAGAGTTACCTCCTCCTGTTTACAGGTTGGGGTAATGATGGTGAACAAGTGTGCAAAGTTTCAAAGCCATATGTCAATGGACTTTGAAAATATTTAAACTATAACAAAAACTTTAACATAAGTGGTTACGCCGACGCTCGGGTGACTACAATAGCTCTACTTATTCTTATCGAATAGTCGAGCTAAAAATGAAACATTTAAAAAACCATCTAACCTAATTGCGTAAGTTACTACGTTAATGTTAGTAAACAATAAGACCGTAACTAACAACATTTCTAGAAACAATTTATTTAATTAAGTTTCGAGCATTTGATATTGAAATGCTTAAGTTCCGTAGTAAAATCAAACTTCTGTTCCAAAGTATTTCTAAAAGATTTTCTTACTTATAAGTTATCAAAATAATAATCGATAAGTTTAAATACCTAATTAAAAACCTAAAGTTCTGGAGCCATGCTCAAAATAAAAAGCAAAATCTACCGGGTAATGCTTCAAGTTTTTCAAGCTGCGGAGTGATTTTCAAACATAAATCAAAGTGCTGCAGCACTGAATGCGACGGACATGCAACCGGAGAGACATTAAGGCTTCTTTTAAACAAAAACAAAACACAAAATATATAACAGAGAAAATTTGTTCCATACATGTTCGAGATTTGTAGAGCAATATATTTTGTGTCCCAAACTGATATAATTCAGATTTTCTACTTTCAAGCACTTAAATACAGAATGAAATTCATGCCTAAAAACTCTGGTCAAACTTGTAAATCAGTGTCCTTATCGATTTATTCTAAGAAATGATATGTAAATAGAAAAAAAAAACTGTCAACGAAATATTTCTAAAATAAATCCGTGCAAATAAACTTCAAACATAATACATTATACATTTGAGAATGCTATTTAGAATTGTTTCCTGTTATATCATAGTCGGCATATAGACAATAAAATATAAGTCATTTGTATTTTTATTTCTCTTGGATAATATGTCTCATTAAAAAAAATTTGGTTAAAATCATCAGCAATTAATAGTGTATTTTTTAGATTTTTTTTTATTTACAAGGTAAAGATGTAGAGGCCAGAGCACATCGTTTTTATTTTAATTTAAATGTCACTTAAGCACTACAGTGTTTAGTTGTCCTTTTCAATTTCACACTAAATTCCATTTTCAACTTGTTACAATTGTATACAATTTCTAAAAGTATTGCATGTAATCCGCTGGTTTATTAATTACATGTATAATGTGTACTCCCTAATCGCCTGTCCAAAAATCAGAACAGGTGAAGCAGAATCTATTTTTAGAATAGCGAAGGTTAATTCATATCATAACCTAGAAAAATATGTAAACAAACCACAAGAATCGGAAGTAGAACTGATATTATAACTTCCTTACCATGAAAGACTACATGGCGGTAAAGTGTTGAAAACTCTCTTCTTACATGCATTTTCAAAAAAAGATATTTATACTAACTATTGTACTGAATCTAATATATTAATAACTGCTGAATATTCAGCTAAACCCGCGGTATGAGTCACGAAAATAGTTCTTCTTTTATTAATGCGCGAGTTATCCTAGAGTCACGAAAAACTTTTGATTTGTTAATAATAATGTTTTGTATAATGTAGAAATATTTATTTCCTACTAATAATGTCTTGGAACTCAGAGGTTACACCTTTATTGTAGTATAATTTGCTGTCCTACTTTTCCCACAGCGGTAAATCGTTTCAGCAGTAATTTGCATAATGCGCAATAATACTACGGGACTATAACGTTTTTATCATTAATATACGTTCATATTTTAACTTTGATAACTTAATTTGAAATTGAAAAGGCTAAATATGGAAGACATTAAGATATCCAGACAAAGTATGGGAGTTTTGAAGGATCAAATTCATGTACTATTTCTTGGGCTGTTAATCGGTTTAGGACACATTGCGCGAGTGTAGCCAACGAAATCCCATGTGTAGATGACTTAGCTCTGAACGCGCCTGAGGGCGCGTCCGTCGCAAAAACGCTTTTTATACTCGTGGTTCAACATAAACAACAATGTTTATGTGCTAGCCGTGTGTGAGTCACGTACGGCTAGCCAGGACACAGTGTATTGTCTAGCAGTAGGGCACTTTTAAAAATTAAAAGATTTTGAAACAAACATGTAAAAAAAACACTCTTATTTGAAGACATCCCTTTAATTTCCTCTTTCAAACAAAGAAATATACATTACAAGAAGAAAAGTGTAGTTATGGCCACTGACCACCTTGCTATTCTTAAAGAATAAAACAGTAACACAGAAAATGACACTAATATGCACCTGCAAAAGTATATGTTAGCCTTACAAGTAAGGGTCACAACTCTTACTAAATGCAAACTTGATTTGGGGTATTTGTTATTTAAAATTTGTAAAGACATAAAGATATGCAAGTATAAATGATGAATTGATAAAAATATACAAGAAATCAACATATGATTAAGACATTTGATGAAAGAACAAAACTTAAATATTACATTGAAATATATAATATTTTTTCAAGAGATAAATTTATGTAAATGCTCATTAAAATAACAGGTGAATATTACACAGAATAATTTTTAGCATTCACAACCTTTCAACACAAGAACCGGTTGAACCGGGTGATGCTCCCCGAGAAGGTTCTGGACACAGGAAAGTATAAAAAAAATGAACAAAGGGCAAAAACTCCAAAATTAGGCAAAGCGGAGTTATGTTTTTTTGCACTGCACTTCTATTCAATGAGATCTATCTATCTATAAAGTTTCCTGATGATATCAGAGTTATGTCCCGGGTAAAAGTCAAAGTGTAAAAATGAACGAAGGGCAATAACTCCAAAATTGGACCAGGCTTTGTTTAGGTTCTTTAAGCATTGCAGTTCTATCCAATTATATCTAGCTACCTACAAAGTTTCATGTTTTAAAGTAATGTCCAGGACAAAAGTCAAAAGGTAAAAATAAACAAAGGGCAATTTCTTCAAAATAAGGCAAGGCAGAGTAATGATTCTAAAGCACTGCACTTCCACCCAATGAGACCTATCTATCTATAAAGTTTCATGCTGATATCTCTTATGATTTTAGAGTAATGTCCCAGACAAAGTTCAAAGTGTCATAATGAACAAAGGGCAATAACTCCAAAAGTAGGCAAGACAGTGTTACAGTTCTTGTGCACTGCAAACTTACTCAATGAGATCTATCTACCTACAAAGTTTCATGTTGATATCTCTTATACATTAAGAGTTATGTCCCGGACAAAGTTCAAAGTGTAAAAAAAAACAAAGGTGGATAATTCAAAAATTAGGCAAGGCAGAGTTAAGGTTCTTATTCACTGCACACCTACTCAATGAGATCTATCTACCTACAAAGTTTCATGTTGATACCTCTTATACTTTTAGAGTTATGTCCCGGACAAAGTTCAAAGTGTAAAATAAACAAAGGGGGATAATTCAAAAATTAGGCAAGGCAGAGTTACGGTTCTTGTGGACTGCACAGCTACTCAATGAGATCTATCTACCTACAAAGTTTCATGTTGATACCTCTTATACTTTTAGAGTTATGTCCCGGACAAAGTTCAAAGTGTAAAAAAAACAAAGGGGGATAATTCAAAAATTAGGCAAGGCAGAGTTACGGTTCTTGTGCACTGCACACCTACTCAATGAGATCTATCAACCTAAAAAGTTTCATGTTGATACCTCTTATACTTTTAGAGTTATGTCCCGGACAAATTTCAAAGTGTAAAATAAACAAAGGGGGGTAATTCAAAAATTAGGCAAGGCAGAGTTACGGTTCTTGTGCACTGCACACCTACTCAATGAGATCTATCTACCTACAAAGTTTCATGTTGATACCTCTTATACTTTTAGAGTTATGTCCCGGACAAAGTTCAAAGTGTAAAATAAACAAAGGGGGATAATTCAAAAATTAGGCAAGGCAGAGTTACGGTTCTTGTGCACTGCACACCTACTCAATGAGATCTATCTACCTACAAAGTTTCATGTTGATACCTCTTATACTTTTAGAGTTATGTCCCGGACAAAGTTCAAAGTGTAAAATAAACAAAGGGGGATAATTCAAAAATTAGGCAAGGCAGAGTTACGGTTCTTGTGCACTGCACACCTACTCAATGAGATCTATCTACCTACAAAGTTTCATGTTGATACCTCTTGTTGTTTCAAAGTTATGTCCCGGACAAGAAAAGGGGACGGACGGACGGACGGACGGACGGACGGAAAGACGGACGGACAAGGCGGCGACTATATGCTCCCCCGAAATTTTTTCGGGGAGCATAAAAATATTGTTTCCTGTTTCAACTACACATCATGAAAATAAATCCTGTATTTAAAGAAAGAAAAACTTAAATATCCTCTATTTACTCATGAACATGAATATTGTATTATTATTCTAAACAGGTCTTCAACTCTTATAAAAATATTTCATGATTTATAATCAATCAAAACCTGCAAGTCAATATACTGATATCGCCAATAAAAAATGTTATAAAAATTTTTGGTCTAAAATATTGCTATGTCTAACTTACACCAAAGAGACTTATGTGATTTTCTTAACTTTTATATACTTGTAATTGTCCTGATTTTTCTCTCTCTATTTTTATTTTCAATCAATTCAGGACATACTTCATAAAAGAACAATAATACACATGCTGTAATTCAATATACTGGTAAATTCATTTATTTACAAAGAACTTTTTGAAAAATTCCAAACTTTGCAAGTGTGTGCATTGACAGTGTCAGAACAAAAATACATCTCACAACCAATTCAAGGGGGATAACTTCAAGTTTTCATAATATCATAATAGTAATAACATGCAATGAATAATAATTATAAAATTTCTTAATGACATGCTCCATATGTGATAAAATTTATATCAAACTTTGCTTGGATTTTTTTTACTGAGATTCTGTTATAGAAGATATTGACTTCCTCCAGTAATTCTTTCAAGACTTGGTTCAATGATAAACCTTAACCTCTTGAATTTTTGTAATGTATTTGCTCTACTGCAAATTTGAAACAGTCTATTCAAAGTTTAAGGGATTTCAATATCAAGATACAAAAAAGTTAAGATATCAACAGTGTAGAGGCTGGTCAGACTGTACAGAATTGCAGGCTTACTTTGCTCGATATCTGGTGGCAAAGGCTTAAATAACATTCACTTCCCGCTGGTTAAAGGTTTGAAATATTTCTTTCACACACAAAAAAACCTCCATTTAGCGTGACTAGACACTCTTCTGGCAAGATAAAAGATTGAAGGCAGATCAATTGTCAGTCTTCCCTATTTTCACAGTCCTTTTATGTCTGAAAATAGCAGCACCAGTCTGTCAAAATGACAAGATTAACTTGGAAGTGAAATATCTACATCATAACTTAGCAGCTGATGACAGGATCCAAGTCTGAAATAAGATAAGTTATAATTAGAAATAATTATTTTCATTCATTATTCGTTTATGGAATAGAAATGGACAGTGTGTGTTCTTTTGTGGTAGGGTTTTTACATCACACTGACACAGTAAAGGTCAAATGGGGACTTTCCAGTTTTACTGGTGGAGAAAGACCTCAGTTGCCCCTCTGTATTTCAGACACAAACGGGCACAAGTCAAACTATTGACATTCTGTAAGATAGGGACTTTGTGTGTCTCTGACTCTAGAAAAAGCCCTTTAACTTAAGTATTTATAAATGTTTTTTTGTTTTGTTTGGTTTTAACCCTTATCATGCCGAGTAAACTACCACTGCTAACTACCTGCAGTGCCGAATTAATTTATGTAAACAACAGCTGGGTTAAGGTTAATTGGGGTTAGGTGATTTAAACCTCTTGTTCTACCTAATTTTTATTATTTGATTTTTAAACCTATATATTTTTTTAAAGAAGATTAAAATATCTAAGTAATGATATAAAAATTATTTTATTTCATTGAGTTTTAGTTTATAAGTTGCTTACAAATATCATCAGAAATGTAAAAATGTACCAAAATTATTAAGCAAATTATGTAATAAATCCTCAATATATTCCTGCTCATTTTCTGACTGATCAAAATAATTATCAGTGTCACTACAACTAGAACTAAAATAGTATATATATTCATCATCAAACAATTGTTCTAAGACATCTTACACATGCATTTATCTATTTTACCCTTCTGCCATTTTTCTGAACTTTTTACAAATGAATAAAACTGAAAGCATTCACACCATCTGGGATTATTTATGTTTAACTTGACCCCAGATTATAGAAACAATTAAGATAATTTCTCCTGCATTCACTGGTAATTATTTCTTATCAGTATGACAGTGCTGATTAGTGTATTCCCCATTGTGTATTGGATTTCTTACAAATCCGTGATATTTCGGTGTTGGCCGCTGTGGTAAGGACTTGAAATCCGGGATATCTCGGTGTTGGCATGATAAGGGTTAAGTTGCACCAACACTTGGGTTATGGCTGCTTTTCAGCTTAACTGGTGGAGGAACTCCTTGGGGAATTCCTCCTTGCATCATTTCACATATTAGCAGACACATAAGTAGAACCACCACCGACATTCCATCGGCTATCTAAATAATTTCCAAACATGAGAGGTCAATTCTTATCAAACTTAAACTCATCAGGTATAAAAAACTCAAAAGGTATAAAATTATAAAGAATCCTGTCAAAAACACAAGATTTTGTCCAGTGAGATTTTTATTTGGTATAAAATAAGACAAGTACCTGTCCAGCTGTATACAGTGAGGTAGAATCTGCCAGCAGAACTCTAGCTCCAATCACTGTATCATTCTTACATTGTATACATTGTAAATACTGTATACAACATCCTAATGTCTCGTCATATACACTGTTCAACAATAAACCTGCAAAACAAAAATATGTATACAGTCAATTTTGATAGTAAAGACTAGCATTGGGGCTTAAGAATAATTAATGTTGTTTTCTGTTTCAGCAGAACTGGTTTGTTTTGTAAATAGAAACTTAAGTCTCGTAAGCTAGCTGGATAGCTTCCTCACAAATAATCTAAAGTCTGCAACGGTATTCAAACCCTATGCGTTAAGTGGTAAGCGCTTTGTATCAATGACCTTTTTACCACTTGGCAACGGATGCCCCTTCAGTTGTGTTCAATCTTCTCTGTGTTCAATCTTCAACAATAAAGGTATTGGAAAAATCCTTTTCATTCAAAGAACAGTTTTAAATTCAAATGCAAAGTTACTTTTTTATAGTTAATTAGGCAAGCAAGTACACGTTAATTACCTTTGTTATTTGTTTCAGATTCAACTGTTTGTAATTGGCAATCCTTGGTCTTCATGTTGGGAAAATATATCAACTCTGTGTTCTTCTTGAAAACACAGGTCAAGAATTCTGGATGTTTTTTCTGCTTCTCATACTGGCCTAGTGGTAACAACTTATTACCACATTTTATACATGATAAACACTGGTTTTTGGCCTGAAAGATAGGAAATGAAGCATAAAATTAATAGCAATAGAAAAACTGTTATATAACATAAATTTAACAAATAGAAGTTTGTTTGGCTTTTTTTAAAAAATACAAATGTATTCTTCATCTTCTGCAGAAAGAGGTGGGAACAGGAACTTCCTTGGGCCCTTTTTACCATTTTAAATTGCAGAAGACCCTAGACACACTTCTTTGCTTTAATGGTTTATTTAAGCACCAATCAGTTATAGAAGAGAAAGAAGACCTTCAGCATGCTAGATGAAAATGGACTTCTTCTTCACACAAATTGACGAAAATCGCTAAAATTTACTCTAGCATAAATATCAACCAACCTGTCATTAAATGCTAAACTTGCAAGATCCGCTAATATTTCCTCAAGTGCAAATTCTTGAATTGTTTTAATTCGCTAGCTTTTGGACACGCAGAAATATCCACATAAAGTTATTCATTAAGTAAAAGTAATGAAATTTACTATTATATCTTCCTGCAATAAGAATTTTACCTTATTTTCTTTTTCATCAGTGTTTTCATTATCATCGTATATGACACCTTTTCTGGACCGCTTTGACCACTCTTGAAATTTACTTGTTGATTTACGTTTCCTTCCACCACGTCGTCGTGTATTGAGAAACTCCTCGTCCGAATTCACATCATTACCTTAATAAAGTGAAAGATTGCAAATTATTTGTAACAATAACAGAAGAACAATGTGAATGAAGACCATCAGGTTAGCTAATGTTTTTTGGAAAATTTCACATTTTATATCAGTTATGCTACTTTGTACCAGGGTGCTCTAACTGACTTTCACAGCTCAGAATAGTTCACTATTTATGGGAGAAGATATGTAAGTAGACGGATAGCTCAGTCAGTAAAGCAGCAGACTGGGATTCCGAGGGTCCCTGTCGAGCTGCACATTTTTCTCTCTTTGCAGTGGTTGTTCTCACATAATTGGGAAGAAGCATCAGTCTCTTGATTTTGGGGAACATTATCACTTTAAATTGTTAATTTGGGAAGTAAAAAGGCTGGTGTAAGTGTAAGATTTTTGGGAAAATGCATGATATAAAAAAAACAAGAGGGCCATGATGGCCCTGAGGTCGCTCACCTGTATATAGCCCCCCCCCCGGCCCAATTTTTACCCAAGGGCTTTTATTTGTTTATTTGAACAGACTTGGTAGACACCCATAAGAAGATGTTTCATGCAAAACATCTAAGTTCTAGCTCATTGGGTTTTTTAAAAGAAGATTTTTTAAGTTTTTACTATACACATAGAGTAAAAAACAATGACACCCCTCGGGCAGGGCCAGTTTTGACCCCTGGGCTTTTATTTGAACAAACTTTGTAGATATTTACTTAAAGATGTTTCATGCTTAATATCTAAACTCTAGTTATTTGGGTTTTTTCAAAGAAGATTTTTAAGTTTTTGCTATGTATATAAGGAAAATCAATGACCCCCGGGGCGGGGCCAGTTTTGACCCCAGGGCTTTTATTTGAACATACTTGGTAGACACCCATTAGAACATGTCTCATGCTAAATATCTTAGCTCTAGCTCTTTGGGTTCTTTAAAAGAAGATTTTATAAGTTTTTACTATATGCATATAAGGAAAATCAATGACCCCTGGGGAGGGGCCAATTTGGACCCCAGGGGTTTTATTTGAACAAACTTGGTAGACATTCACTAGAAGATGTTTCATGCCAAATATCTAAGCTTTAGCTCTTACAGTTCTTTAAAAGAAGATTTTTTAAGTTTTTACTATATGCATATAGGGAAAATCAATGACCCCCTGGGGCGGGGCCAATTTTGACCCCAGGGCTTTTATTTGAACAAACTTGGTAGACATTTACTAGAAGATGTTTTATGCCAAATATCTAAGCTCTAGCTCTTACAGTTCTTTAAAAGAAGATTTTTTAAGTTTAAACTATATGCATATAGGGAAAATCAATTACCCCCCAGGGCGGGGCCAATTTTGACCCCAGGGCTTTTATTTGAACAAACTTGGTAGACATTCACTAGAAGATGCTTCATGCCAAATATCTAAGCTCTAGCTCTTTGGGTTCTTTAAAAGAAGATTTTTAAGTTTTTACTTTATGCATATAGGGAAAATCAATGACCCCCTGGGGCGGGGCCAATTTTGACCCCAGGGCTTTTATTTGAACAAACTTGGTAGACATTCACTAGAAGATGTTTCATGCCAAATATCTAAGCTCTAGCTCTTACAGTTCTTTAAAGGAAGATTTTTTAAGTGTTTACTATATGCATATAGGGAAAATCAATGACCCCCCGGGCGGGGCCAATTTTGACCCCAGGGCTTTTATTTGAACAAACTTGGTAGACACTCACTAGAAGATGTTCCATGCCAAAAATCTTAGCTCTAGCTCTTACAGTTCTTTAAAAGAAGATCTTTTAAGTTTTTTACTATATGCATATAGGGAAAATCAATGACCCCCCGGGGGCGGGGCCAATTTTGACCCCAGGGCTTTTATTTGAACAAACTTGGTAGACACTCATTAGAAGATGTTTCATGCCAAATATCTAAGCTCTAAGCTCTTAGGGTTGTTTAAAAGAAGATATTTAAAGATTTTTCTTTCGGTTGCCATGGCAACCAGAGTTCTGCATGGAATTAAATTCTTTGAACAATTTTTAAAGGTGACCACCAAAGGAACATTCCTGTGAAGTTTGGATGAAATTGGCTCAGTGGTTTATGAGGAGATGTCATTTAAAGCAAAAGTTTACGGACGGACGACGGACGACGGACGGACGGACGGACGGACGGACGCCGGACGAAAAGCGATCACAAAAGCTCACCCTGTCACTTTGTGACAGGTGAGCTAAAAACCTTCCATTGGGAAAAGGCTTTGTATAGGCTTCTGTTATAAAGTTGAAAAATCACTGCCCTGTAACATGACTTTACAAAACAAATTGTCTACAACTGTTCAAACTTAAAAACTTACTAAGAATTTTATGTTTTTAGGCCTTTGGAACTTAAAGGAGTTTCTTTAAGAACACATTACATTGGTAGTTTGAATTTTTTTTTATTATAAGTGTAATATATATGTTGGGTAGTATTAATTCTAGATAGCTTACCTAAAATAAAACAAGAGGGCCATGATGGCCCTAAGGTCGCTCACCTGTATATAGCCCCCCGCCCCCCCCGGGCCAATTTTTACCCAAGGGCTTTTATTTGAACAGACTTGGTAGACACCCATAAGAAGATGTTTCATGCTAAACATCTAAGTTCTAGCTCATTGGGTTTTTTAAAAGAAGATTTTTTAAGTTTTTACTATACACATATAGTTAAAAACAATGACACCCCTGGGGCAGGGCCAGTTTTGACCCCCGGGCTTTTATTTGAACAAACTTTGTAGATATTTACTTAAAGATTTTTCATGTATAATATCTAAACTCTAGCTATTTGGGTTTTTTCAAAGAAGATTTTTAAGTTTTTGCTATACACATATAAGGAAAACCAATGAGCCCCGGGGCGGGGCCAGTTTTGACCCCAGGGCTTTTATTTGAACATACTTGGTAGACACCCATTAGAACATGTTTCATGCTAAATATCTTATCTCTAGCTCTTTGAGTTCTTTAAAAGAAGATTTTTTAAGTTTTTACTATATGCATATAGGGAAAATCAATGACCCCCGGGGCGGGGCCAATTTTGACCCCAGGGCTTTTATTTGAACAAACTTGGTAGACACTCATTAGAAGATGTTTCATGCTAAATATCTTAGCTCTAGCTCTTTGGGTTCTTTAAAAGAAGATTTTTTAAGTTTTTACTATATGCATATAGGGAAAATCTATGACCCCCTGGGACGGGGCCAATTTTGACCCCAGGGCTTTAATTTGAACAAACTTGGTAGACACTCACTAGAAGATATTTCATGTCAAATATCTTAGGTCTAGCTCTTTGGGTTCTTTAAAAGAAGATTTTTTAAGTTTTTACTACATGCATATAGGGAAAATCTATGACCCCCTGGGGCAGGGCCAATTTTGACCTCAGGGCTTTTATTTGAACAAACTTGGTAGACACTCATTAGAAGATGTTTCATGCTAAATATCTTAGCTCTAGCTCTTTGGGTTCTTTAAAACTATATGCATATAGGGAAAATCAATGACCCCCTGGGGCGGGACCAATTTTGACCCCAGGGCTTTTATTTGAACAAACTTGGTAGACATTCACTAGAAGATGTTTCATGCCAAATATCTAAGCTCTAGCTTTTACAGTTCTTTAAAAGAAGATTTTTTAAGTTTTTACTATATGCATATAGGGAAAATCAATGACCCCCCGGGCCGGGGTCAATTTTGACCCCAGGGCTTTTATTTGAACAAACTTGGTAGGCACTTACTAGAAGATGTTTAAGGCCAAATATCTTAGCTCTAGCTCTTTGGGTTCTTTAAAAGAAGATTTTTTAAGTTTTTACTATATGCATATAGGGAAAATCAATGACCCCCTGGGGCGGGGCCAATTTTGACCCTAGGGCTTTTATTTGAACAAACTTGGTAGACACTCATTAGAAGATGTTTCATGCTAAATATCTAAGCTCTAGCTCTTACGGTTCTTTAAAAGAAGATATTTTAAGATTTTTCTTTCGGTTGCCATGGCAACCAGAGTTCTGCATGAAATGGAATTCTTTGAACAATCTTGATAGAGCTTCATACAAAGAGTATTCCTGCCAAGTATCATTAACATTGCCCTTGCGGTATCATAGAAGATGTCCTTAGAATATTTAAAATGTGGACGGACGACAGACGACGGACGCCATTTGGTTGGCCATCCTAAAAGCTCACCTGCACTTTGTGCAAGGTGAGCTAAAAAGTTAAACATTTAGAAGATTATGAAATTTAGTGATGTAAGTCTGTATATGATAAAAAACATAAATAAAAATAATCACCTGAAGCCGATTCCACATCTAATAACTCCTCCCCAACATTCTTCTTATCTTTTGCTGCTTGTAGAACATCATCTGACTTCTTTCTACCCTGTTGAACTTTATCTACCACTGACATATCTACCTTTCCTCTTGTTGTAGGCTTAGTCCTTCTTCCTCCTTTACTCTCTTCTTTAAAATCATCAGCATTATCTTTATCATTATTTACTTCATCGATATTAATATCTCCATCTTTTGATGTTCTCTTACAGTCCTCAATCTCAGATTTAAGCGTTTTTGTAGAAAGTGAATTCCTTTTCTTGAAAATCGGTTTCTTTTTCATGCTCTGTTCTTTATCTAAATCAGCAAGGTTATTTGTTTTATCTACACTGTCAGGAGCTGGTTCATCTGTCTGACCATCTTCAAAGAGTACAGGTGATGTACATGTAGGCTGTAATTTTCTAGATGTTGATATAGTTTGAGGATTTTGTGGAGTTTTTGACATACATGTAGTCTGGGGAAAACTACCTGGCTCTACTTTCACAGAGTCAACAGTTTCTGTTTTAATTTCCTGAAATAAGTAACAATATTATAACAAAAATTTACATTTTTTCTTGTATAAATGATGGCCCAGAGGTCGCACACCTGTATATAGCACCCCCCCCCGGCAGGGCCAATTTTAACTCAAGGGCTTGAACAAACTTGGTAGACACCCATAAGAAGATGTTTCATGCTCTAAACATCTAAGCTCTAGCTCATTGGGTTTTTCATAGAAGATTTTTTAAGTTTTTACTATACACATGTAGTTAAAAACAATGACACCCCTAGGGCGGGGCCAGTTTTGACCCAAGGGCTTTTATTTGAACAAACTTTGTAGACACTTACTAGAAGATGTTTCATGCTTAATATCTAAACTCTAGCTATTTGGGTTTTTTCACAGAAGAGTTTTAAGTTTTTGCAAAACAGATATATGGAAAATCAATGACCCCCGGGGCGGGGCCAGTTTTGACCCCAGGGCTTTATTTGAACAAACTTTGTACAATGACTAGAAGATGTTTCATGCTTAATATCTAAACTCTAGCTATTTGGGTTTTTTCAAAGAAGATTTTTTAAGTTTTTGCTATACACATATAAGGAAAATCAATGACCCCCGGGGCAGGGCCAATTTTGACCCCAAGGCTTTCATTTGAACAAACTTGGTAGACACCCATTAGAACATGTTTCATGCTAAATATCTTAGCTCTAGCTCTTAGAGTTCTTTAAAAGAAGATTTTTTAAGTTTTTACTATAGGCATATAGGGAAAATCAATGACCCCCTGGGGCGGGGCCAATTTTGACCCCACGACTTTTATTTGAACAAACTTGGTAGACACTTACTAGAAAATGTTTCATGCCAAATATCTAAGCTCTAGCTCTTAAGATTTTTTTAAAGAAGATATTTAAAGTTTTTTTCTTTTGGTTGCCATGGCAACCAGAGTTCTGCATGGAATCAAATTCTTTGAACAATTTTTAAAGGTGATCACCAAAGGAACATTCCTGTGAAGTTTGGATGAAATTGGCTTAGTGGTTTATGAGGAGATGTCATTTAAAGTAAAAGTTTACGGACGGACGACGAACGGACGCTGGACGGACGCCGGACGAAAAGCGATCACAAAAGCTCACCCTGTTACTTTGTGACAGGTGAGCCAAAAATAATATAAAACAGTCTTCAAGGGTATTATCCTGTTTATAACTTAATTTTTAACAAGGCCATCATAAACGTTGGGCAACATTTACATATATGTGTGTTATACTTTATGCAAGTATTAATGTTTAATGATAAATTGGAATGGTGTATATAAAAGGAGCGGTGCGTCTACTACAATCTAAATTGTAGGAGACAACAACATTTAATGTATACATGCAAGTCAACAATGTTATTATTCTCAGCATTTTCACATCATATCAATTATAAATGCTAAAGTGTAAGCAAAGTTACAGAACAGATCTAAATGTAACATGGGAATATGTTTTTTTGTAAAACAGCTTTTTTTCTTTGTTCTCTTCTTTTCAGCAGTAATCATCTTAAAGATAAAGAAATGATAAAATTTTATTTCTTCAAAAAATCACTGCAATTCATTCACAATTACAGTCGACATTGTATTAAGAGACCACTCAAGGGACTGCCAAAAAGTGGTCTCTTAACAGAGTGGTCTCTCAATAGAATTCTGGAAAATTCGAGACTTTTTTATATAACAAGTCATAGATATGATAACATCTTTTTTATAAAAACAAAAACTGTACGAAAGGCCTGTAATGTTTAGTTCACTACGTTTCACGGTTTTATTTCGACTACAAACGATGACATTTGCTTTTAACTCAAACTCAATTCCATGCACGATTTCCTCATTCAATTTATCGGTCTTTACTCTTATTAGTTGTCTGTTATTTTCGCTCGTTCCGGCGTCATTTTCGATTTGATTTTCTGGACGGAAGATCACTCTGAGCACATGCGGTGTTGTTATACGTTATTGCTCTGACAAAATATGTCATAATAAATATAACGATCGGAAAACTGTTTCTTTCTTCCCGATTTTGAAACGATTGCAATTATTATTCAATTCGTTTTTAAACGACAATTATTTGTAACGGTCGTTTAAGAGATACTTTAAAACCAATGACCATGAAAATTATTTGTTTGTTTGCTTGTACACATCAAACCTACTCGCTGATTACACAGGTGAGAATGCCCGTAGGTACGATTGTTTGTCACGACCGTTTAATAGATACTTTTAAATTAACACTTTATTTTGTACATTTAGGCCGACATTTAGTGGCCGCTGGCCGCGATATAAAATCGTCGTTTAATGGAATTAACTTATTTAGTAAAAATCATTAGGAGGGATTTTATGCGGCCGCTTAATAAAAAAGTCGTTTAATAAAGGTGGACGCAAGTACGATGCCGACTGTATGTTATTAATTAATTGAAAACCTGTTCAGATTGTCTCTGAGGTGTAACAGCTGCCACTGGAACTTTAGCTGGGGTTTTTGGAAGCTGGCAAAATTTTAGGAACTTGTTCTGAGGTTCTGGATCTCCTGTAGAGGAATCAGGCACCACCACTTCCTGTTCTACCTTGACTGGTTTTTTGTCCTGCTCTGTTTTGACTGGATCTAGTGTTTTAACTAGACTGTCATCAGTTTTCTCTGGAAATAACATCAGTACATCAACAAATGTCAACAAATACCTCATGTCAGTCCAATTAAATAAGATATTGAAAATATCATCATTTCTTATCACTTTTAAGTACATGTATAAGGTATTTTACAATCAGTGCTTAATTTACACTTTTTGGCAATTGTTTCAGCTTTGAAAAATAGGTCACATACACCCCTCAATAACATAACAAAGACTTTTAATTTATCTTAAATGAAAAAACACAATGTGCACACATCCATAAAATTAAAGTCTAGTTTAGACATTAATTTATTCTTATTCCAACACCACATTCAAATTTACTATCCAACTTAAGTGGACAGAAAAGACAATCGTTTTTTTTATATTGCAATATTAGAACCTTTATAAAAGAGTAAAATTCATTTGCTACAATCATGTATTACCAGATAAAAAGGTAAAAACAAATTTTCAGAGGAGGCTGGAGAATGCAAATTTTCCTGTAACAGGCAGATAAGTCTTTGAAGAAAACAGTGGATTATTACCAAAACTAAACATAGGTATTGATGGTTACATACTATACATGCAAGCAAAATATGTGTAAAGTCACACCTACAGTCTTAAAGTACTCAAAATACAAACACAAACACAAAATAAGATACCTTGAGTGTACATATTACATAAAAAAAAACAAATTACATGTTATTACCTGCTTCAATTTTCTTTTCAGTGTTAGGCTTAGATTTTCCTTTTTTGTTTGGTTCAATAAAAAATGCCCTCTCATTTGTTTCCCCTTTATTAACAACAACATAGTAGGCCTGATTTCTTGGAGCTTGACTTGAACTAACAAATTTCTTCAGTTGTTCTTCTGCACTAAGTGTGCTTGACCCAAGAGTGAACACTATATCTGCTTTCTTTTCTTCTTTAGACACATTTTCTGATTTTATGCCATCTGTTGAATTTGTTTTGTCCAGCTGATTACCTCCCCTGAAATCAGATTTTAGACTGGTTCCCGGAATAGTGGCAGACTGTGGCAAGTTGGTTCCCTGCACTGGAAGTTGGGGCATTGTCAGTAAAACAGTTTGATGCTGACTGGTTCCAGGCATGTTCAACACCACTTGTTGACCTGCAGCTTGTGTTAAGGGTACAATTGGAGGAACCATTGATGGCATCTGGGCGGGCATCTGCTGATTGCCTAAATCACATAAAACAGCAAATAATAAGATTCATGTTTTTTAAAATGTTCAGTAAAAATCTGAACATTCTAAAAATATCTTGTGTAAGGTTTCAGAAGCATTAACTACTAAATAAGATTTGTCTGCAAAATTTCATTGTATCAAGAGAAACAGAAAAGCTTAAAAGAACTTTGATTTAAACTTTAAATGAACTCCACTCAGGTCCAAAACTCTAAAGACACAAAATTTAAATTTCTTACATAGATCAGCTGAGGCACATAAAACAGAAAGATATGCAAAAAATAATTTAGAAATATATAAATTGAAAAGCACATTTTTGTGCTATTCTTAGCCTGATTTGAGTCATTTTTCACAATTAGAATAAATATATTGAGGAACAAAACAACATAGTAAGCAAACAATCTGAAATGTGCACACACTTTATTGGGTAAAACCTACATCAAATGGAACAATAATCACGGAAAAAAGAAATCTTAGTCCTGTCGACATGTCTCAAAAATGAAGTTGAGTCCCTTTAAATTTACTTCTATTTTTAATGGGAATCAAATAATGTAAACTAATTTTTGTCATTTTCAATAATTCAAGTTCATGATATACTAAACTCAATAATTTACTTCTGATCATTTACCTCCATGTTTGTTTGGTTCTATAAGAAATGTTTGTTCACTCGATGTCCTTTGATTTACAATAATGTAAAATGGCTGATCTTTTGGTCCTGTCCCTGAATTAATCACATTCAGAATCTGCTGCTGTATATTAAGGGAGGTTACTCCTGTAAGCACCTGTTGCTGTACTGTAGGGGAAGAAACTCCTGTAAGAACCGTTTGGTGTACTGTAGGGGAAGTAGCTCCAGGAAACATTGGAGCAGCTGGGCTAGTTACTGATCTTCTCTTGCTTGAGGTTTCAGGAGTTCTAAATCAATTTTGCAAATCTGGAGACTGACTCAATGGTGGACTTCTGTAATTAAGACAAACAATTAAAAATAAAATAACTAAACAAACTTTAAAACTTGTGTTATATTCAAAAAAATACTTTCAAAAGCTGTATTAACAAGTAATTAAAAGTATGAAAATCTATTTTCAGCACTATTGACCTTGACCTAAGTGTCCCCTTGCTCCACTGAAAATTTAGGTTAAAGGAATCTGTTAAATGAATCTACCAACAAACATTAAAAGAAATCGGTGAATAAACGAGATTTTTATGAGCAGAAATGTAAAAATCTATTTTAAGCATGAATGACCTTGACCTCAGTGACCCTCTACTACACCTTAAGTAAGAAGACTACCAAATTGTATTGTATATTCAAGCAGTCTGGCCAAACCATATATAACTAACAGCTCAATCTCAGCCTGGTGATTATGAAATTTCAACAGAATTGTTACATCCTTTCATGTGAGGAAGCAATCTAGCTAGCTTACAGAAGATCTAAGATTCTATTCATGTATCCAACTTGCCTGAAATTAGGGGCGGGGAAAAGCATTGAGGTTTTCCCGTGAAGTCTTAACTCAACAAAAAAACAAAATTTACGTAAAATGGGGAAAGCATGGTATTTTTAAAGTATGATTATTCGTGATGTCTTTAAAAAAGAATCTTTCTTCGTCACGGGTTTGGGAAAACGACGTTTTGGCTGAAAAAATCGTAATTTTTTAAAAATGAGATTTTTAAAAACATATGACCCTTAAATTATATGCTTTTAACATATCGTCCCCTTTAAATGCGAAGGGTTGGGTCCTTCAAAAATTATGAAGTACCCAATTAAATTTTAATGGACTTGTCCTCTTTAAAATTGAACAAGCCATTTATCATTTTTTTTCTGGTGTCGGGGAAATAAACGAGTGCCGGGACTGAAAATAATAAGAAAATTTTTTCGGGACAATATTCAGACATATGTACACACCAATACATGTATATAATATGCCATCTTAGTGCAGTAACGAGAAAGGTCCTTCTAAATTTAAGTTATTGCACTAAGGTGACAATATTAGCTCTTGCCCAATTAATATCTTCAATGGACTTGTCCATCTTTCAACATGGACAAAAATCATTCGTCATATTTTAGAAAAAATATCAAAATAAGTTCTTACTAAATAGCAAACAATGCATACAATCATCAGTGCCAAAAAATCTTGGTCTGCACTGGTCAAATGCAGATAAAAACATATATATAATCATAACAAAACTTAATATCAGACAAAATAAACAAATTGCTAAAACAGTATAAAATATAACCATTTCATCTCAATATAATATTTGAATTAAATTAGGAAATTAACATTCTTTGAAAACTATTATTACTAATGCTTCAAGGGTAGAAACATTTTTTCACTAATTTTGTATTCTGTTAACAAAACAGAGATATGGAAATTTTACAAAATGAACTTTCTGGTTAGATAAAAATTCAAAAACAACTATTTCAAGAAAGGTTCAATATATTTAATATTCTGGTATATACATATACTTACCTCACTTTGGGCATTTCTTTGATCATTTTCTCAGTAAAGTTTGACATGGACATGAGAAAGTCAGAGAACACATTAAATGTCTGTACCTTAGATCTTACCCACCTTGACAAACCTATTAATACACATATAACATACAATGTAACTATATAATAATGATTAAAAATCATTTTCCCTTAAATGCTCATTATGCCTCTGAAATGCCTCTAAATTTGATTTCTTAACACCTGTTTATTTCTGTATCTTGTTACAATTTCCAAAAACATACTCATCTGCTATAAATATTAACTTTCTTTTCCATGTTATTCCTGTTGGCTGTTGTTATAATTATTTTGTTTTTTTTGGAAAGCTTTTCGAGCTTTTCGATTTAGAATAAAGAAGGCAACACAAAGAATTGGGACTTTAAAAATTGTGTGGACTGAGTGGACAAGAATCCTTATATAGAGAAAAACTGTGTAACATGGTCAATGATGGACAGAAAAAGCATTTGTATTTAGAATAAAGAATGCAAGAACTGGATTTTAAAATTGTCTGGACTGGACGACAATCCTTAAAGAGGAAAAACTGTTTGAACTTGACAATATGCCAGATTACAGAGTATATGGATTAGGAAGTGTTTACTGTACTTACTCTTGCAATATTTTTCTGTTCGTTTAACAAATCTATCATCAACAATGATCAAAGCTCCCCAGTCCTTTCTGTAAGATAAACAGAACATTCTTACATAACACAACCATAATTGTTTTTTTTTTTGGTGGAGAATCAAAGTATTTCTTTTATAACTAAGATATGGGTCAATGAGAAAAACTAAATTAACATTTATTATTTCTAAAATTGAATAAACTTCACCCCCCCCCCTCCAAAAAAAAAAAAATCCCAATCTATATTTATACATACCAAAAATCTTTAAACATTATAATTTTATTAAGTTTGTATGAACTTACCTGTGTCTTATACACCTTCCTAGAGCCTGGTTTAAGGCCCTAAATGCCTGGATTTCATACCGGTCACCTCCACTTAGAAGTCCTCTATCAACCTTATGTTTGTTATTGTATTCTCTTTTAAGTTTCACCTGGAAATCTTTAAAGCTAGGATAAGGTATACCAACCTATAAACAAATAAACATATAGCAATATTAAAGTTTGGATAAGGTATACCAACCTATAAATAGATAATAAACATGTATATCAATATTAAAGTTAGGATAAGGTATACAACTTAAAAATAATCATATATTCTTAAAGCTCGGTAAAATTTTCCCACTTAACGAAAGATTATGATCAAATTTTCGGCCCCTTACTTCTGCCACATCCTAACTTAAAAAATGATTCCCCTACCCTATCTTATTTAAGATTCTTTGTCAGTATGGGATGTTCATTTAGACTAAAGGAGAAAATTGAAAACAGAGCCATTAGTAATGAAAGTACCCCTGTAAGAAAGGGGTGTCCCCCCAAAAATCCATAACTTATGGGGCACTTAAAAAGGCGTCCCCCTTCTATGCATGTGAAAAAAAAGGCTGTTGAATTTTTGAGGGGCAGGGTGAGCATTGGGGATGAGAACTGGGGGGCCAAAGGGCCCCCAAAGATAAACTGCAAAGGGGCACGATTGGTCATGTGCCGAAGGGGGGAAATGGGAAAATTGTCTAGGGAAAGTGGGTTTAAGCTTTGGTTCAGTTCAGGCAATTCTGGCTGATGTCTATGGCATGTCAAAGGTTTCTGCTAGATGTGTCCCCAGACAGTTGACTGACGACCAGAAACGGACTAGGCTTGACATTTCAAGATATCTTTTGTCTCGCTACGAGGATGAACCTGATATATCTAACTTATCGTAACTCAGGATGAAACATGGGTCCATCAATTTGATCAAGAATCCAAAAAACAGAGCATGCAGTGGAAGCACCCTGGCTCACACCCTCCAAAGAAATTCAAGAGCGTGCCATCAGCAGGGAAGATGATGGCTTCAATTTTTTGGGATAGTCAGGTGATAATCATGATTGACTATCTTGAGAAAGGTCGTACCGTAAATGGTACTTTCTATGCAGACGAATTCAGACGTCTGCGTCAAGAAATTACGCAAAAAAGGAGGGGCAAAACTGACTCAAAGGCGTTCTGGCTATGCACAAAGGATGCGCCAGCTCACAATTCCAAGTTGCGATGGCGGCTGCAACTGACAGAGACTTTTGAAATTCTTTCCCAATCCTGTTATTCTCTGAATCTACCTGTTTTCGAACAGAAAACAAGCTTCGTGTAGACCTTTTGGATGCAATGAAGGTGTCATGGAGGTGGTCGATGAGTTCTTTGAGGAGAAAAAGAGAGTTCTTTTTGGGTTTAAAATTGGGGAGTATTTGTAGAGGGGATTATATCTAAAAAGAAAACCCTTTTGTTGGTTTTGCTATGAAAGGCTTGGCCAAAAATTTTTTCATCCCGTAAACATTACCCCTTGAAGTTGGAAAGGGGATACAAAAAGTATAATGAAAAAATCACCTATTTTTAAGGGAGGATAGGGTTTTCACCTATAAATGATACATTGAGGTTGAAAAAGTATAAGGACTGTTGCTTTACTGCTCACATCCTTCCTTCTAATTAAGTAAATTTAAATAAGATCGGAACTGGTCTAGGCGGCTGGGTCCCTGGAATTTGATTGAAAACCGTAATTATTTCTCATTTAAAAACCTACAAAGAAGCCTAAGCAACAAACTCATGCTACCACAGTCAACCTCTTTTTTCGTTCCTATATATTCATCAAAATTTGTGACTGAAGATAACATTATACAATTTTGGAGTTTTTTCAGATAAGAATGCGATACTTACTGTAATAACAGCTCTGGCATTGTCATCAGCAAAATCCATCCCCTCGCTAACTTTACCGCGGCATACAGCAAAGAATAGAGCGCCATCTATCTCCGAGTCATCATCATTACACTCAGCTATAATGCATATCAAAAATATATTATATTATCTTCACTACTCTTGTTTTACCATACTTGACAGTACGTTTAACAGTGTATTATTTTTTGTGGCTATGAAAACAGCATAGTATCAGAGCAGAGTAGACTGCTGGATAAAATTCAATTTTCCTTCACTTGGTTCAAAAGATACAGAGCACACACGAAATTGCTAACAGACAGACAGATAGACAAACATTCTTTCTGAGTTCACACTATGGTTTCATCTTTGAAAACTTAAAGCCCCATAAGCAACCACTTTCCAACCCATAAACATTTTTTACCTCACAAATTTAAAAACAGTCTGTAAGGAATAAATATGGACATTCATCCTTGGTGATCCTTGAATTAATCTTGATCTTTATTTTTTGTCTTGATATGCAATTAATGTATGCAAAAGTCAATTTTTTCATGTTTTAATCATAAATAAATGCACAACTAGGGATGATACTGATCACCACTGTGTAGTTTCAATGAATTTAGCCCAGCCAATTTTGAAGTGAAGCGTGGACAAGATTTCTGTATTTATAGTTCTAGCGGCTATATTGTGC